AGCTCTCAACCCTGCAAGAACAACATAGGTTTAGGGTTTAGGGTTTAGGGTTTAGGGTTTAGGGTTTAGGGTTTAGGGTTTAGGGTTTAGGGTTTAGGGTTTAGGGGTTTGTAGCGGAGATGCTTGGCACAGTCGTCGCGGGCTTGGGGTTTAGGGCTGAGGATTTAGGGGTTATGAGGGTAGCCCAAAACCCTCCACGCCCCCAGAACCCTTACAAGTTCAGGTCCTTGGCAAGCTGTACCTTGCTTTGAGCCTTTGACATGAACCGCACCGCGTTGACCATCTGCCTGAGTTGCGGAAGTAAGGGTTGTCGCGCGGAAGGTTGAGGGAACCCTAAACCCTAAACCCTAAACCCTAAACCCTGTTTTAAACCGTAAACTCAAACCCTAAACCCTAAACCCTAAATCGTTGACAAGCCGAGCAGCCGAGTTTAAGGAGAGTGATCCAGAGCGCACTTGGAAGCCAAAATCTCAATTAACCCCACCCAACACGCCAAATCCCCTCAATTAGAGCCACAAGCCCTAAACCCTAAAAATGGGTGAGGGCTACAGTGGGAGGTTCGGGATCTGGGGAATTTGGTATCCACAAGTGCTCTGGATAAACGCTGGGTTTAGGGCAAGGCGGGGGTCTACACCGTGAATGCTACGAACCCTAAACCCTAGATGATGGGTCATCTTTTACTTCAAGATGCCCTCAGCCCCTCAAATTCAAGTGACGAAACTATTGTAGCCTTAGCTTTGGGTAAGGCACTGCAGCCGGCGCTTGCATTTGATGTTCCACCAACCACTGTTTTCCAGGCAGTTCTCCTTGTACTTGCGGCTCTTGTCTTTGAGGATGCCTGCCATCATCTTGAAGTTGGTCTTGGTCTCGTGTTGCATCAGATACTCGTCGCTAAGCCGGCACTGGTCGTTCGAAGGACCCGGGCGATCCAGCGACAAGCTCTTCTTCTGGCAGCCACCGGCTGCTCCGATGCAGGACCACTGCCGGATGGAGAAAGTACACTGCTTGTTCATGCTCCGGTACCGTGTGGCCCACTCCGATGGCGACCTGCTGGGGATGCTAGTGGTTGTCGCCGTCTTTTCGGATGTCTGGGGCTGAGATGCCATGCTGTCATCCTGGCTGGACAGCTGGTAGATCTTCGCAGCCACGGAGGCATCTTCCGTAACTCGAATGGCCTCATGCCCACTCAGCAGGAACAGAATGAAGAACGCTTTGATCTTCACTGACCCTGCAACTTGCCGCATCACGAGGATTGTCGGGATGCCGACTTGCGCAAAGATTTCACAAACTGCTCTTGATTGCTTGAACAGCTGCAGATCGAACCCCACATTTCAGCATGTTGCTGCTGCGGATCAGCTACTCACCACTGCATATCTCGGAGTGATTGATGCGGCCCGCAAATCCCAAAGCCCTCTCACTCCAAACCCCAAAGCTCCTTAACCACCCAAGGGGCAACCGTAAACAGTGCGCAAGAACCTCCTGAAAAAAAAACTCGCGGAATCCCAACTGCGAGATGCCAAGATCCACACCAGTTACAGGGCCATTAGCAGGCAGACAATATCCAAACCTTGCCAACTCCTACTCAAGAAGCCGCTTGCTTTGTCCCGGCGAGAAAGCTGAGACAGGCTCGCGACATCTCGGGATCCTAATCCGCAGGCGTCGTCATCCCCTCCATTTTTCGTGCTGCACCTCCTTCACAAATACATATTCCACTCATAGTACACTGCTTCCAACAGCACATATGTCAAGACAATACAACTTAGGGGGGAGGGGATTGCGCTCGTGCGGTTTGAGGCTGCAGGCTCGAAAGGCCCAGGGCTTTCTGTTTTTTTTTTGCGGAGTCTGGGAGACTAGGCTGGGCAATTAGGGTTTCAGGGTTCGGGGCACAGGACTTCAGGGTTTAGGGTTTAGGGTTTAGGGTTTAGGGCTGATTGGTTTGCAGGGTTCCTGGGCGTAGAGACAGTTCCAGGCATTTTTGGGCGCTCTAAGCCCGAGCCTGCAGTCCAAACCAGGCAGTTTGAAGCCTGAGGCTTAACATCCTAGTCCGAGGCCTTACACCGTAAGCCCTAAACCCTAAACCCTAAACCCTAAACCCTAAACCCGAAAGGCCGACCGGATCCCTGGACATTTGCAGATGCCGGGAACGACTTCGTCGCACCGGCTGGGGGGGGCACCGGAGCCTTTGGCAGGCATGCTTTGTTGTCAGCATCTGGGTTTAGGGTTTAGGGTTTAGGGTTTAGGGTTTAGGGTTTAGGGTTTAGGGTTTAGGGTTTAGGGTTTAGGGTTTCGGAGTTTTTGATTAATTGCGTGCTGCAATCGGCTGTTAAATGGGAGGCTCTGCTATCCCTCTGCAGGCTCCAAGGAAAGTCAAGTAGGAATGCTCCAGGCCTCAAGGCCTTAGAGCCCTGAAGGCTTCATGTGCTTTAGAGTTTAGGGTTTAGGGTTTAGGGTTTAAGGTTTAGGGTTTTAAGAGGCCTCCTAAAGGTTCATCTCTTGTTTACCTTACGAAAACGAGGCCCTGGTAGGTAGCACACGGACCAGCACGAGTCAGGCAATGGAAAGGTTGCAGATCGACAACTAGTCAGGCGAGACCTTGAAAGGAAGGTAGCCAGCAAAAACAAGCAACAACCTACAAAAACAAAGGAACAACAACCTTTCATCCCCTCAAACTGAACTGCTTACTGGTTCTTAGTATTAGTACGGAATGGGGGAATTAGGTACCTTCTATCCCCCAATACACAAACACCCTTTAAAGGATGACATAGGGCACCACCTCGCCCCCTACGAAGGACCAGTAAGAACAAAATCAAGAGGATTCTGGGAGCGCCCCCGGCAAACTCAAAACACGCGGAAAAAAAGTACCACTGGGGCTACCCAGAAAGTGACGGGAGGAGGGCGTTGGCAAAACCAAGTTCTTGCCCCATGCCAACAAAGGAACCTAAAAGAACCTAAGCTCCAAACGCGAAAATACAAAACAGTCAACATGTCTGGTCAACATGCTTTTGGGGCCCAAAGACGATTTAAAAGGATAAGGAAACACAAGGAAAACACATACCATATATGTATATGTATATATATGTATAACAACAAAAAGTGCTTAAGAACAACCCTCTAAACCCTGAGCCCTAAACCCCACACTCCATCCCTCTCCATCCCTCATCTCGTGGCCTCACGGTGCCGTCTCCGATCGCTGCCGCCGTTCGCTGCGCTTGAGCGGCGCATTCGGGTTGGGCTCCAGTGAAGTTCCTCAGCCAGTTTAGGGTTGAGGGTTTAGGGTTTAGGTGTTAGGGTTTGGGGTTCAGGGGTTTGAGTTCTTCACCGGCTTGGATCTAACAACTGTGACGCTTGAGTGACACCTGGACTGGTTTCGGGCGTGTGAAGCATCCGACTTGGTTGGGGGCGGCTGAACTGGTTTAGGGCTTAGGGTCTAGGGTCTAGGGTTTAGGGTTACCGCTGCATTGTGGCAGGCATTTCGTGGAGCCGAACTGCCCACTCGTCACCACGAGCCAAAGGTACCCCAATCTGGAGGAACTGACGCCGCTAAACACTAACAGCCAAAAGACCCTAAACCCGCAAAGCCATAAACCCAAAAAACCCTAAACCCCTGAACTTACCCTGAACCCTAAGCCCTGAAACCCTAAACCCTAGAACCCTGAGAACCTAAACCCTGAAACTCTTAAACCCTCTAAACTCCAGGAACTCAAGGCTTGGGCCTGCTTGAGGCGGACATTTTCGGGGCTAGTTTTTTCAGGTTGGGGGCGAGGCATAAACTTCAACAGCTTGCAGGACTCAAAGAGTTTAGGGTGTTGAGGGTCTTAGGGGCGAAGTTTTTGGGGGTGTTTACAGCTTAGGGCTCAGAGGGCCAGTTCTCGTCTGAGCAGCGGTGGTATGTAGTGAGCTTGTGCGGCAACTTCTCCTGAGACATGTTCCGAGAGAGCTCGCAGGTTTAGACTCTAGGATTTAGGGTTTGGGGTTTTAGGGTTTTAAGGATTACGTTTGTGAGACTCATCGACTCCGCACTTTGATCCCAAGGTCAAGACTAGAAGGGCGAGTGAAGAGGGTCTACTCTAGGGCGGAGCCATAGCTGCCTGTCGCATGCTACGAAGTTCATGAAGCTACTCTGCATCCCAACCTTCACAGCTTCTGCGCCGCATCACAGCAAACCGTAAATCCCAAACCCTAAACCCTGCTCAACACTGGTTCTTCCAACGCCGAAACCCTATAACCCCTAAACCCTACAACCTAATTATCTAGGGTCTTCGAGTTTTGGTTTAGAGGGCTTGGAGTTTTGGTTTGGAGGGCTTGGGGACTCGCCTGGCTCGGCACGCCCGCTTTGGCCCAACCGCTGACGGTCGGCCGCTTGACCCACAACTCCTGAGAAAGGAAGCCGAGGTTCGAAAGAGGGTTTAGGATTTGAATGTTTAGGGTTTAGGGCCAAACTTAGGGGTGTAAGAGTTGCGAGACCTGTCGTGGACATATGCCCTCGGCCCCTGCAAAGTCCTTAAGCTCCAAGCCCCCTCGAAGCCCTGATTCGACAGCTCGTAGACATGCCGGCCAGACATCCTGCCCAACACCTGTGGGTTCCATCGAGGGCTCAGCGCCTCTTGGGCCCTAAGCCCTAAACCCTAAACCCTGAACCCTAAGCCCTAAACCCTAAACCCTAAACCCCAGACCCTAAACCCTTTCTTCCCTGAAGCCCTGGAAGGCCATGACCCTAAACCCAGAAGACTGGAACTCGCCAGGCTAGGGCACCCGACGACTCGCATCAGCCAAGGGAAGCGCCCAAACCCACAAGAGACGCAAATCCCAAGCCCGACGCATGAAAGTAGACTTCACAGAGGCTTGTCTTGGGTTCTTAGGCCTCAGAGGTTAGGACCCCTGGGCTTTCTCTCAGACTTTCATGTAGCTTATGACTACGTAGACATGCAAAAGACAAGGAGGCTTCAGCTTCTTGAGGCCGACTCGCCCTAAACCCTAAACCCTAAACCCTAAACCCTAAACCCTAAACCCTAAACCCTAAACCCTAAACCCTAAATAGTAAACCCTAAACCCAGACAGTCCGACCCCACCCGTTGGTCCTTGGGCGCCTCCTCTGCCGCCGGTGCCCGTGGGCACCAGGGCTGCGAGAGGTACACGGTATCTGCAATCAGGTTTAGGGTTTAGGGTTTAGGGTTTAGGGTTTAGGGTTTAGGGTTTAGGATGGTTTAGGTTAAAGGGGGTTTGGCTCGAGAGACTGGTTAAGGTCCAGGTCCCTGCTTCGGGTAAACAACCCTGTCTCCATCTCCACATCAATTCAGGAACCGCGAACAGCACCCTAAACCCTAAACCCTAAACCCTACACCCTAAACCCTACACCCTAAACCCTGCACTGCAACCTCAGGCACCAAAACGGATCAGGGTTCAGGGTTGAGGAGTAATTTGCCTTTAAATCGACGAAGCAAAAAACTCTTCTGCCCCCGCCCCCAACCCCACCCACCCCCCCCCAAAGCCTAGACCCCAAAGACCCTTAAGCCCTAACACCTACAAACCTCCCTGAAGCCCATAAACATGCCGAAACCCTAAAGCATCCCTAAGCTAAAGCCCCACTCCGCTGACCGATCGCAGCCACGGCGCCGTACATGTCCGATCTGCCCCGACCATGGTGCTCCTCCTGTTACATACACACACACACACAGCGACACCGCCACAGGCAATCGGTTTCAATAGTACAATGTGGCAGTTTGAGGGAGTAGGGTTTAGGGTTTAGGGCTGAGGGCTTAGTGGGATTTACTTGCTGTTCGGTCAATGTATCCCCGAGCTGGTAGGACCGCGGCCTGTAGGTTGCCATGTTTGTAGCGAAATGTGCGCTTCACTGTGGTGTTAGTACGATCCAATGGAAACTAGCGTTTTTTGTATTCATTCCAACTTCTTGGGAAACATGCGTCTGCGTGCTTTGCCGTGTTGAGGGGTGTGTTGTTGGGATCCAGGAGTCGCAAGTCCACGGATTCTAGGGTTCAGGTTTAGGGTTAAGGGTGAAGGGTTTCGCTTCTTTTGTCTTCACACCACCCCCTCGTTTTTTGGTGTGTGTCGGGTTGGATGCGGTTGGATTGCATTGTTTCGGGCTTGTTTCGGAGGTTTAGCGTTTGCTGAAGTTTGGGTTCTGGGCTTCGGGTTGGTTGAGGGTTGAGGGATATGGGTGATGTGCCTAGTCAAAGTCGGCGTGACGCTATCCCCCCCCTCCCCACACAACAAAGCCCTTAAAAAACCCAGAAACTAGCAAGACCAACCACGCCTTCTGCGCACGCAGCAACACCCTGAAAACCCTGGAAAAGAGCCGCACAAACCCACGGCAAAGTCCGGTGAACAAAGAACACAAAATCCTAAACCCAAAGCTCCTATTTGCTGAAGAACCGCCCAAAAAAGTAAAAAACACGCGGGTCATAGCGGGATGACTATCGTGTCTTTTGGGGCGGGTTCTTCAGCAAACAGTAGCTTTTTTGGGTTTCTTCAGCAAATAGTAGATTTTTTGGGGGGGGAGGGGGGGGGGAGGGGGGGGTTCTTAAGAAAAATCGTAGTTTTGTGGATTTTCTTATGCAAATCGTCGACTTTATGGAGGGTTCTAAGCAATAGTAGAATTTTTTGCGGGCTTCTTATGCAACCCTCAACCCTAAACCCTAAACCCTAAACCCTAAACCCTAAACCCTAAACCCTAAGCCCTAAGCCCTAAGCCCTAAGCCCGAAAGCTTCCTCCTTCTTCGGTCCATGGCCATTGGCTCCCATGGCCTTCCAGGGCTTCAGGGAAGAGAGGGTTTAGGGTTTAGGGTTTAGGGTTTAGGGTTTAGGGTTTAGGGTTTAGGGTTTAGGGTTTACCAAGGCTAACATCATCATTGTGAGCTTCATGCATCAGTTGTTTGGGTTAAGCCCTAAGCCTCTAGGCTAGTCCATGTCCATTTCTGGGCAATCACGCGGTTCGGTTAATTGCGGGGGAGGCGCGATCTCCGTTGCTTTCTGGGCAATCACGAGGTTCGGTTAATTGCAATGGTTGTACGATCTCCCGTGCGTTCAGCTTCGGGGCTTTGAGTGCTTCTCCTTTGGCTTCGCTTTGGTTTCCTGTTGTAGCTGGACTCACCTATTCCGGCGGGGCTGTGCAATCCATCGCCTTGAGCCCTAGAGCCTGAACCTACAAACTCTGAAGCAAGAGCTTCCTCTCTCTCAGCCCTACATCCTCAAGGACAAATCAATGGAAGTTGTCCTCGGAGCACTTCGAATCTGCTGCCTCTTCAGGCCAAAGAGGCTGAAATCTTCTTCTTCCGTAAGGAAGCCCTGAAGCACAAACCTTAAACCCCTTGCCAATGTCTCATTCTGAACTTACGAAGATCTGGTCTCCAGAAGAAGCTTCAAACGCCGAGAGAGGCCCCGCAAACACGCCCACCCCCAAAAAGGGTTTAGGGGTTGGGCCGGAAGCAGCCCTGATAGCTTCAAAGGCTCTTTCTCTTTCTCTTCCTCCCTCTCTCTCTTCCTCTCTCCCTCTCCCCCCTTTTCAACAAATCAAATGCGAACAGGACTATCAAAAACAAGAGTCGGTCGAAACTCGCTCAAAAGGTGTCGGTCAAAAGCGCTTTTGGGACCCAAGCCCCAGACAACGTCGAGGAACCCTAAACCCTACAAAACCATAACCCCTGTAAGGGTTAAGGGTTTCGGTTGCATGAACCCTCAACCCTAAACCCTAAACCCCAAACCCTAAACCCCAAACCCCAAACCCTAAACCCTCAAGCTCTCGTCCCAGGCGCCAGGGCCGACGTCTTCGCGTTGGGTGCGGGCACCGGCGTCGAACCGGGCAGGGGTGCGCAGTCCAAGGGCCCCGCCTGGCAAGCCCCGTAAGGGTTTAGGGTTTAGGGTGTAGGGTTTAGGGTTTAGGGTTTAGGCAACCCAACAAGCCTCTGAGCACTTCAAGGCTGCAGGGGTTTAATTTAGGGGTGTAGTCCCCCTAAACTTGCTAAACCCAACAAGCCACTAAACCCTTCAAAGGAGAATGGGGCAGCCAATCGGGCAATGCCAATCTGGTACCCAGCTACCCTCGGACCCCAAGCCTGATACCCTAGACAACGCATGCATGGGACAAACATGTGAAGTCCTTACTTTCAAAACATGTGCACTCATCTCTACGTCTCGACTTGTGCAGCGTGCAAACCTGCGATTGCTTCGAATGCAGGTCCCCAAACTTGCTCGTTCTCAACAGGGCCACGGGGATTTCGGCACCATACATCTCCTAGGAATGAGAAGGGTGCCTTTTTCAAAAAAGGGTTCACAGAGGAGCCTAAACCCCCCCCGCCCCCCCCCCCCCCCCCCCCCCCCCCCCAAAAAAAAAAGGAATAAAGGAATAAAGGCGTATTCTGGGTCCTAGGATGATATAGGGTACGCAGTTCCCTCGAAGTGTCTAAGAACCACTACTGCTAAGCTAAACTCCCAAGCCCTAAGCTCGTGACAACACCTCTGTACCGCGAACTCGAAACGGGTTTATGCTTTAGGGTTTATAGGGTTTATGGAGTTTAGGGTTTAGGGTTTAGGGCTCAGGGCTCTAAACCTCTGTTACAACCCGACCGGTGAACGGAACGCTGCCTTGCGCCCAGTGGAGGCTGACAGGCTGCTGTCCGGCCCGGGGAGACGGCTGTTCCTTCTTTCTTTTAAGGTATAGGGTCTAGGGTCTAAAACCCTAAACTTTGAAACAGACCCTACACCCAAATCCAACGAAGAATAAGCCCTCTAGACCCTGGATCCCTGACCGCCCCCCGAAGCCCTGAACCCTGGCTCCGTTCCGGGCTTTGGGTTGAAGGTCTTTGCGAGGTTTAGGGTTTAGGGTTTAGGGTTTTGGGTCTAAGGAGGAGGGGCTGTGACTTTCAAGGTTTAGCGTTTTGGGGGCTGAGGGTCTGGCATCTGAGGGTCCAAGGAAGAGGGCTCAGGGCTTACAGGGCTCAAGGCAAGGGTTTGTGGGCGTCGAAGTGGGTGTAGCTATTCGCCCTTGGTTTGATAGTACTTGGCATTTTGGGTGGCCTGTAGCATAGTTACATTATTCTGAGGAGATACTCTTGGCAAATCTTTGAACTGCTCGACTAAGAACCAGTTCGGGTCCAAGCCTATAGGCTTGCTGAGTAGGTTTAATGGCAGCAAAGGAGCTATGTAGAAACCCTAGTTCCCGAATTCCCAACCGAAAGGTTGCGAGAAATATTGTTGGAATCTGAGCCGGCAGAAAGGCACGGCATCGCGAAGACCGAATCCTCTCACTCCTCTCCTCCCCTGGGTTCACAGCTTCTTTGGGGATTGTAGGACTCGAAGGGTTCATCGGGTTCTTGAAGCTCTTTGGGTTTATCTGGCTTACACTGGCTCATAACTCATAATCGGGTTCGTAGGACTTGCAGGATTACTAGAGTTTGCAGCTCTTCTCCCGAACCTTCAACTGACCCTAAACACTAAACCCTACACCCTAAACCCCAAGCCCCTCTTGGGGCCAGGGCTTATAGAAGACGCTTGCCAAGGTGCCGCGAGTTGAACATGCGACTCCGACCCTCGGCGGGCGCCCGCCTGGGAAAAGAGGAGCCTGAATCCTAAAGTGCAGGAGCCCAAACCCCAAACCCCATAAACCTTAACACCTAAACCCTCTACCTTTCTGAAACCTAAACCCTAACCCTTTACCCCAGGGTTCAGGGTTCAGGGTTTAGGGTTTGGGGTTTAGGGTTTAGTATCAGCCCTTGGTAAGACTCTTGGGAAGCAGCCCGCCGCTGTCCTCTATAAGGATGGGGCAAGTACCACCGGACTGTGCAAGCCGAGCGCAGAGACGGGGGAGCTGCTGGGCTTGGGGCTTATGGACCCGGCCCTAAACCCTCAACCCTCAAGCCCAAACCCTAAACCCTGAACCCCTGAACTCCTGAACCCCTGAACCCTGAACCCCTGAATCCCGAAACCTAAACTACCCCAGACTTGATGGCTTGTTTTGCGACCATGCGGCTGATTGCCGTAGACTGTGGACGGTGGCTGGCTGTAGTCCTGACAAGAGGGTTTATAGGGTTTAGGGTTTAGGGTTTAGGAGTTTAGGGTTTAGGGCAGAGGCCTCCCTGCAATGGGGGAACCCTAAACCCTAAACCCTCAACCCTGGGAGCTTCCCCGAAATCCCTAAAACCCTACGCCCACAAACCCCAAGCCCTCAATCCCCAAACCCTTCACGCTGAAGTTGGCAGCGGTTCTAAGTTGGGGGGTGCTAGTTGCCAGGGGTCTGTGCATCAGTTGCTTGACCTCTTCTTTGTTTTGGCTAGGAGAGGCAGCTGAACCCAACTTTACTTCTTAAGGATTTTACCTCCAGGATGGGTCGGGCAGGAAGCAAGCCAGAAACCCAAATCGCCGCAACTGAGGCATGATCCTCTGGACCTGCGGATGTAGCCTTAGTTCCTGAAACATCTCTCAAGAGCCCTGCGCTTCCTCCACCTTACGCCCGAATCACTCAGTATTGCGCGGGTTTAGGGTTGAGGGCGTTTTGGTTTAGGATTTCGGGGCCCCCAAAATCCAAGATTCACAGCCCCAACATCCCTGCAAGCCGCCTTATGAGAACGCACATTCCACGGACTTCGTTCTGCAGGAGTCGCTGCAGAGCCCGGGGTGAGACCTGCCGTACGTTGTTGCAGCTGGGACGTCCCCGAGCTTGTAGAGTTCGGTCAGGGTCGAGGGTTTAGGGCTCAGGGTCTAGAGCTCAGTGTTAAGGATTGTTGAGAGTTCAGGGTTCAGGGCTTAGGTTTGGGGTTTGGTTGAGGACTGCGGCTTTTGGATTGAGTTGGCGCTTAGACCCCAAAAAACCCAAAAAAACCTACATGGGTACTGCCCAAACAATTCAGGGTCCCTTCGATGTGTCATGAATAGGAGCCACCCAAAAGCGTACCCCCAAATAAAATAAGGAGCTCTCGCGCCTCCGCCCAAAACAAAGAAAATCTCTAAGCCTGGGGGTGTAGTGTAGTCGGCCCTGATGCCCGAAAATCTGGTGTTTCGGGTTTTGGATGCCATTGCTGCGCCCATCCTTTTTGCATCTTCTTCCCTGATTTGCCAGGCCAATCGTCTCAGTTCAACACCTACAAACCCCCAACACCCCTCAGAAGAGCGTCTTGCAGTGCCCGAGAAGAGACAACGCGCGCTGCCACTGCGCGCTCTTCTCGAAGGCGCTCATGAGCGCCTAGGCTGCAGATCTTCGGGTATAGTTGCATGGTCCCTTTAGTATCAATATATGGGCCCCTTAAAGGAGGACCTCTTACATAACCCTTAAGTATATACCCTACACAACTCAAGGCCCATGTATCAGAACCCCTTATAAACTATGTAACTACCCGAAGAGCAGAGCATAGCTGCAAACAGCCCTAAATCCTAGCTCGAAGCCGGATACCACCTAAACCCAAGCCCTAAACCCTAAACCCTAAACCCTAAACCCTAGTTGGCAGCCCTGCTCGATACACAGCAACATAAACATCACCTGCCGCATGGCCAAGCAAGACCGGCTCTTTGGTGCCACATTTCTAACCATAAGGGTTTAGGGTTTAGGGTCTAGGGTTTAGAATTTAGACTTTAGGGTTCGGGACTTAGAGCTTGGGGTTCTCCTAAGCCGCGTAAGCCCTCCAATTGTATCGGAGAGGCTGCGTAGCTCACGAGATCAGGCTGCAACTCGGCCTTGGGAAATGAAAACAACACGTTGTAGCACGCAAGAGCAGTATGGAGCGGGGGGGGCGGGGGGGGGGGGGGCGCGATGGCAGGGTTTGTTCGGTGGTCTTCACAACTTGGGTTCGGAACTTCTGCCCAACAATCCCGGATGCTGACTGAAGAGTTTGAGCTGTACAAGCCGAAGCTACAGCAGATTTTTTCGGCGGGAGCGGGGTGTAGGGAGACCTCTTGGGGCGTTCTTGCCCGTAAACCCCTGAAACCCCAGACAGGGGCGTTGGGTTGCGGTTTCTGGGATCGTGGGCTTCAGGGCTACAGCCTGGTTGCCCGAATCATGGCCCTGAAGATCTCGGCAGCTGCTTCCCAGCGGTTGGCCTTCTCGCAGGCGCTGGTGGCCGAGTTATGGCAGATGAGGCTCGGAGGCAGTGCATCACTCATCATGCTCAGGTAGGCTACCGCCCATTCCCATCGAGCAGCCTTCTCGCAGGCACTGATGGCTGCACTGTACGTAAACGTTGTAGGCCTCAGCCCCTTCTGATGGACCGTGCCATAGACCCACAAAGCCAAAGGCCACTGCGTGGCCTTCTCGCATGCACTGATGGCAGCGTTGTGACTGATAACATCGCACTGGACTCGGCTTTCGGCCATTTCAGAAACCAGAAGCTGCAAAGCCGCCTCCCACTCTCCTGCCCCTTCGCAGGCGCTAATTAAGGTGTTATACGTCACAACATCGGGAGTGACAGCCTCCGAGCGAAGCTGATGCAGCAGGGCCCCAGCCAAAGGCCACTGAGCGCCGGTCGCACATGCGCTCATTGCGGCGTTGTAGCTTATGACGTCCGGATGTATCCTGGCCAGGCCCATCTCCTTAACTGTTCTGGGAACCTCTTCTCGCAGGGCCCCTTTGAAGAGAACCATCCCTAAGACCTGAAGCCCCACAACTTGAAGCCCCCAAGTCTCCATCAATCCGAATGGCTGACCCTGATCCGAAACCGACCCTACACCCCAAACCCCAAACCCCAAACCCAAACCCAAAACCCCAAACCCTAAACCCTAAACCCAAACCCTAAACCCAAAACCCAAAACCCAAAACCCAAAACCCAAAACCCTAAACCCTAAACCCTAAACCCTAAACCCTAAACCCTAAACCCTAAACCCTAAACCCTAAACCCTCATCCGAAACCAAAACAGCCCAGTCTCGAGGAGGAGTGCGAGAGCCATGAGCCAATCGCTTCCTTGCTCACATGCACTGATTGCGGTGTTGAAGCTGATCCTCGGTTCCGCAACCAGCCCTGGAGAGAAAAAACAGGCCAAGGCTTCGGGTTCGGGGGTTTGATCTTGAGGGGTTTGGGGCGGTTTCAGCACGATGGGCGTTCATAGACCTCCCCCCCCTTCAGGGCACAGAGCGGGTCCTGTCTGGCTGAATGGCCTTGCTCGGCATGTCGGCCAGCAGCTGCACAGCGGATGCCCAGGCGCTGGCCGTCTTACCGGCGCTCATGGCAGCATTGCAACTGTCTGCTAAGGCGATGGACATCCTGGTCATATAGTCGAAGAGCCCAATTGCCCGCTGCCACTGCTGCCCAACATCGTATGCACAGAGGGCGGTGTTGTATGTAATGGTGGTTGGGGTGAGCCGAAAGCGAGGGAGCGTGGACAACAGGTTTAGCGCGGCCTGCCACTCCCTCCCCATGTTGCAGGCCCTCATTGTGGTGTTGAAGCTGATGACGTCAGGTTGGATCATCTCTGTCAGCATCATCTCGTGCAAGTGCATGGCTGCCTTCCAGTGGCCCCTTCTGGCACAAGCATTGACCACTGTGTTGTAGCTGATGACATCAGGGCTCTTTCTCGCAGCAGCTATGCTCGTGAACACCACTATGGCCAGTTGCCATCGTCTGCTTCTCTCCGCGATGCTCATGGTGGTATTGAGCCCCGTTACGGATGGCAGGACGACCTGCTCTTGCATCCCACCGAGAAACTGCAAAGCCACATCCCAATGCATTTCCACTTGAAACGCACTGAGTGTGGTGTTGTAGCTGATGGTATCTGGAACCACGGCACATTCTGAGATGCTCGCAAATATCTGTGCAGCCAGCCTCCAGTTACCTCCCTGAATCGCAGCACTGATGGCGGTGTTGAAGCTCACAACATCCCTCGCGACGCTTCTTGACTCCATGTTCTGGAAGAGGTACCTGAGCTTCGCACATGGGTATAGACCCCCAAATCGTAGGATCCCCTTACAGGAAGGACCCCAATAAGGCACCCCTCATATCGTAAGCCCTCATATGTTCTTCTGTGCTGCCCCTTGGTGGCGATTCCGATACAAGCCGACGCAAGTCTCAACTCTATAGCACTGCAACCCTAAACCCTAAACCCTCAACCCTAAACCCTAAACCCAGAGAGAACAGGGCACAAGGATAGCTGCCATCTCCTGCTCTTGGCACAAGAGCTCGCTGCTTTGTTGCACTCCAGTGTCGATGGTGGCCCGGCAGTCTTACAAAACATCGAATTCCATGCGCTTGACCCACGGAAACGGGAGTGGCACCTCGCTTTCTTGGTGGGTCTGGACCAGACCGCGCGGCAGCACCCGCGGATTCCCCGTAGACCTGCCGCCCCTTGCCAGGAATGACTCGGGAATGCCGAGACAGAGGCAAAGTGGGCAGACAGCATGGACCAAGGCTGGAATCGCCAAGGCTGGAATCAACAGGCAGTCGTCCCTACCGCAGCGACTTCCAGACAAAGCCGCGCATGCGACCGACGCGCAGAATGTCCAAATGCAAATTCAGCCTTATGCTTCCACCCTGCCGCTGTCCCACAAGAATGCACTGCAAGTCTGCAAGGTGCCAGCAACGGCATTCTTGAAGCCAAGACCAAAGCTCCAGAGACCCTAAGCCCTTCAAAACGTAAACCCTACGAACTGAACCCCAAACCCTGTAAACCTGAAAAACCCTAAACCTGTCAGAAGGAGTCCAGGCTAGCTCCTATCACAGGACTCTTCTCTCCGGCACTCTGCAAATAAGAGTTGTGTGCGAACGCTGCCCATACATGACGAAACCTCAGTTCAGCTTTGCCTCGTTACGATGCTGCTCTCTGCAATGGGCCCTCCACTCCCCAAAACCCTATGTAAACCTGCAGCAACGGAAGCGCGTGTCAGCATGCCGTCTCCTTTTGAGTCAGCACACTTTGGAGTTGCGTGAGCATCTAGAATCTCATGGCAAACGAGGGCTGCCCAAGCCTCCAGCCTCACGTTGGACAGCTGTTGAAAAGCGTGGCAGAAGAGACTCTCCAGAGCATCTCGACCTTCACCCAATCGTCTCACTTCGGAAAGCCGCCGTGTTACTTGTACTCTGGTGTGTCAGGGCCCGGATGTCCGGGAACCACGGTATCGCATGCCCCCCCCAGTGCAGCAGCCAGCCCGCATAACCGGTGCAGACATCTTGGCGGGCTCGTGTGGGGGAACATCTTCTCGAGAGGCCCTGGTGCAGGTGTTCCATCTGGGTGCCGATGGCCGGGCTTTTGACTATTGAGTCGCCCTGGGGCCACGCCCGGGTCATCGACGGGGGGAAATCAAAGGCCGAGGGCCTGTATAATTCGCTGCGACGTGCGGTTGTTCTCGCTCTGGGCAACCTGGCCGGTGCTCTCATGTCCCTCAAGGCCCTAAACTCCACAGACATTGATACCCCTGAACCCCAAAGCCCTATTATAGTAAACTCTGCACGCCAAAGTGCCACCGAACATCCGCCTTTCATGGCCAACCCCACTCCCCCGCCCTAAACCCTAAACCCTATAATCTCAAACCCTATACATCCCAAACCCTAAACCCTAAACCCTAAACCCTAACCCCTAAACCCTAAACCCTAAACCCTAAACCCTAAACCCCAAACCCCAAACCCTAAACCCTAAACCCTAAACCCTAAACCCTAGCCCTAAACCTAAACCCTAAACCCTAAACCCTCAACCCTCAACCCTCAACCCTAAACTCTAAACCCCTGCCCGGCCAGCGCTCGCACGGCCCCTTCGTTGGACAGCAGCGCCCCGCGCAGCGCGCGGCCGAGCTCGGTGGCGTCACTCCATGAGGCCAAAGCCCCCACCTGTAGGGAACTGGGGTGGGTTTAGGGTTTAGGGTTTAGGGTTGAGGGTTTAGGGTTTAGGGTTTAGGGGTCAGGGATTAGGGTTTGGGTTTACGGCGAGTTTAGGTTTAGGGCTTAGGGTTCCGGGTTTCGGGTTTTTTGGGCTTGGAATTTCAAAATGAATGATCGGCTTGTGTCAACGCAGTTCGCATTTATGGATTGTGCCATACATGGGTTTAGGGTTCAGGTTTAGGGCTTACGCTTCTGGAGTTCCGGGCTTGTAGGATGCATCGAGCTTCAGAGCATCTAGGATTCCAGGGTTCGTAGAGTTTGAGGTGCGTGGCTTTAGGGCTTGGGGGTTGTGGGGCTTGTAGGCTTATAGGGTTTAGGGTGTTTGGGGTGTTTGATGCCGTTGAGGGTGTTAGGGCCCAACTTTCTTAGATCTTCCGCCATCTTCCGCCCCTAAAGCCTACGAACCCCAAACCCCTGAGGCGCCAGGGACACCGCGCTGGGAAGGGGTTGGCAGCTGGCGATGGTGGCGGCCTGTGGCAGTTTGCGGTTTAGGGTTTCGGGTTTAGGGTTGCAGCGGGAGTTTAGGGCTTAGGGCTCAGGGTTTAAGGGTGGGTCCAAGGGTAGTTTGTGCGCTTGGGGCCTGAAGGTTTCAAGGCTTATGGGTTTGGGGGCGTAACGGCTTGAGGGCTCAAGAGTTTAAAGGGCTTGCAAGTTGAAGGGTTCAAGGGGCTAAGAGTGTAAGGTTCAGAGGACTTTTCGGATTTCCAGAAGCCAATGTCCAGGGTTCAAGGTCTAGGGTTTCGGGCTAAGGGGTCCAGCAACTGCACTGTGAATGTGTACTCTAGAAAGGTGACAGGGGTCGGCTTGAGCCGCCCTTGTATCTGCAAAGGGTTCACCAGTCAAAGGTGCCTCTGAAACTGCACCTGATACCTCCAACCACCTCCCTAAACCCTAAACCCTAAACCCTGAACCCTGAACCCTAAACCCTAAACCCTAAACCCTAAACCCTAAACCCTAAACCCTAAACCCTAAACCCTAACCCACAACAAAAAGCCAAAGCCCCCAACCGCTGCCACAAAATCACGACAGGGGCACGCATTGAAGGACGTAGCCGTAAGCAGCAGCCATAGTCACAGTGAGGGGCCAGGGGGACGTCGCGGGTGCCACGGAAGCCTCCCAGCGCGACTCTTCTAGGAGTTCGGGCCTCAGGGGTTTAGGATCCCTAAGGGTTTAGGATCCCCAAAGGGTTTAGGATCCCCAAGGGTTTAGGACCCTTCTAGGGGTTTAGAGTTTAGGGATACGAGCTCTCAAGCCGGACCCTGCGAACAGAGAAGCCCAGCGAAAACCCGCAAGTTCGGGGTTCAGGGGTGGAGGGGCCTACTTGGAGGTTCATGGTACTTATTTGCCAGTTGTAACTCTACTTATAACTGTACTTAAACCATATTCGGGCACTTCAGGAGCTCATAAGTGGATTGCAAGTACAGTTGCGACTGGTTAATAGGTACCATGAACCTCCAAGTAGGATCTGTCAGCAAGCTCACGGCGACACAATCAGCTGTACGTAACCCAAGCTGTGACTGCCCAGGCTGGAGGTACCTATGTCCGATCTCCTGACAACTTGCGGCAGAATACCCAAAACCCTGCACCCTAATCCCTAAACCCTAGACCCTAAACCCTGAACCCTAATCCCTAAACCCTAAACCCTACACCCTAAACCCTAAACCCTAAACCCTAGACGGCCTCCACTGCGCCCAGGGCGGCGTTCACACACTGAGGAGCCCAGGAGGTTGCGGTGGCGAAGCTCTTCACCTGGGGGGGGGTTTAGGATTGAGGGTTTGGGGTTTCGGGTTTAGGGTTTAGGGATTTGGGCTTAGGGTTTAGGGTATGGGGTTTCGGGGCTTCGAGGTTTCGGCGGGGGGGGGGGGGGGGGAACCCAAAACCCCGAAACCCTGAACCCTAAACCTCATAAACTCCTTTGAAACTGTGCGCCAGGAAGCCAAGAGCGTCAAGGCGGGCGCCGCCAAGTCCGAGGTGCGGGCCGTCGTCTGGACTAACTGCTCCTGCAAAGCGTTTGCGTTTAGGGTTTAGGGTTTAGGGTTTAGGGTTTAGGGTTTAGGGTTTAGGGTTTAGGGTTTAGGGTTTAGGGTTTAGGGTTTAGGGTTTAGGGTTTAGGGTTTAGGGTTTAGGGTTTAGTGTTTAGGTTTTAGGGTTTAGGGTTTAGGGTTTAGGGTTTAGGGTTTAGGGTTTAGGGTTTAGGGTTTAGGGTTTAGGGTTTAGGGTTTAGGGTTTGGGGTTTGGGGTTTAGCGGTTAGGTGTTGGGGTTAAGGTTTAGGTAGGATTTAGGTTTTTTTGGGTTTGGGGCTCGGTTGGCCTCTCTGAAGACGTTCCCTAAATGTGATCCTCCTAAACATAAACAAGGGACAATATCAAGCATCCCAAGGCCCCTAAACCCTAAACCCTAAACCTAAACCCTAAACCCTAAACCCTAAACCCTAAACCCTAAACCCTAAACCCTAAACCCTAAACCCTGAACCCTGAACCCTAAACCCTAAACCCTAAACCCTAACCCGTCTATAGTGGCTCCAGAGCCGCAACCAGGTCTTCGTCACCCTCCGACTGGGGCCACACGGCCATCCAGACCTTCTGTGGGCCACTTGGCTGAGGGTTTGGGGGGTTTGGGGGTTTGGGGTTTGGGGGTTTGGGGCTTGGGGTTTGGGGGTTTGGGGCTTGGGGCTTGGGTTTCGGGTTTGGAGGGTTTAGGGTTTGGAATTTGGGGTTTGGGTTTGAAGGTGAAGGGTTTTGGGGTTTGGGGTTTGGGGTTTAAGGGTTAAGGGTTTAAGGTTTCGGGGCTTGTCTTTCTTAGGGTGGCAGGGGCCCAGGAACCGAGCCGGGACAGAGGGGCTCTCTCTCTCTCTCTCTCTCGCTCTCGCTTTCTCGCGATTAGTTTGATTTCCTTTATTTGTTTTGTTTTGTTTTCTTTTCTTGTCTTTTCTCTTATTTTCTTTTCTTTTCTTTCTTTCTCTCTTTTCTTTCTCTCTCTCTCTCTCTCTCCATAAATAAATAAATAAATATATATATATATATATAGACACGCACACAAACAGCTCCACGTTTATCATGCTTCTGCACGCATGCATTATCCATATCATACTGTATTCGTACACTATCTGGTATATGTTATGGTTCGGGGTTCAGGGGCTCAGGCAGTACACAGAACTTGCTGGCTGGGGTGCTTGGTGCAATGAATCTTGAGTTGCACGGTCTTCCGGCTTCGGAAACATAAACCCTAAACACGAAACCCGAAACCCTAAACCTGCCATCTATGGCATCTCTTTGCCCTCTGAAAAATTCAGGCGTTGACTTCACAAAGGCCCCAAGCCCGCACCCCCAACCCGCCAACGACGAGGATCAACTTAGACAGACCAACGCCCCCTGAATCCGAAGCCCTGACCTCTAAGCCCTCCAGAGACCCCTTTATAACCCTAAACCCTAAGCCCTAAGCCCTAAACCCTAAACCCTCAACCCCCAAACCCCTAAACCCCTAGCCCTAATCCCTAAACCCCTGAACCCCTGAACCCCTGAACCGGGAGCCCGCCGAAGTGGCCTCCAGCGCGGGCCCCCGCAAAGGCTGCGAGGTGCTCGCGAAGTCAGCGATGCGCACTGCGAAGAGGACCTGCTCCTTCTGACTGGCCGGCTTCTTCGTAGGGACTGGATGTAGGGCTTGGGGTTTCGGGTAGTGAGGGAATGAGGGCGCCCTCTATACTCCCATACTCCCTTGAAGGGTATATATATATATGTATACATATATATATATATTTATTTATTATATATATATATATGCTACCCTCCCCCCCCCTCCCCCCGGCCATCCGCGCTTTTTGCGGTTAGCCATGCTTGTTCTGATGTTTTTTGGTGGCTGTCCGTCTTTTCGTAACTAGTTTGTGCACTTAAACCCTAAACCCTAAACCCTAAACCCTCAACCCTCAACCCTAAACCCTAAACCCTAAAGGAACCTTGAACCTTGAATCTTGAATCCCGGAGTATTGAAGTTCAATGCTGAGGATTGAACTTCAATACTCCGGGATTCAAGATTCAAGGTTGCAGGGAAAAGTTTCCCCGGGATCTTGAATCCAGGGTGAGGAGTATTGAAGTTCAATCCCCCGGATTGAACTTCAATACTCCGGGCCCCGGGATTCAAGATCCCGGGGAAACTTTTCCCGGGAACCTTGAATCTTGAATCTTGATTGAAGTTCAATCCGGGGCATTGAACTTCAATACTCCTTGTCCCTCATCGTGCTTAACCATTGAGGCCTAGACACTATGCACTCTAGAAACACCAGACACCAGTAAGTAGATAACATCGTCACACTATAGTAGCAGAAGATAACAAGACTGAAGCTTTGAAGTAAGGAAGCTCTGAAGTTACTTATCCCCCCCCAAAAGGCGTGGATAACTGGGGGGGGGGGGGCACCATATATATATATATATATAAAGATATAGATATATAGGGCCCCGACTTCCCTCATTCCCTACTAAGACCCCGTAGGTTGAAGGGAGTTCGGACTCTCCGGCCCCAACCCACGGGAAAGTGGGCCTTGGCATCTTTCTTTCAGGTGTTTTTGTTAGCATTCTTGGGTTTTGGGGTTTAAGGTGCAACTTCTGAACGCCATGACCCCTAAACCCTAAACCCTAAACCCTAAGCCCTGGAGTTTCGGGACATCCAGGACGACCACGGGGCTCTCCTCTCGAGGCACGAATCGCAGAAACTGGGCGCAGTCCGTCATCAGCAACCTCTAGGGTGTAGGGTTGAATCCATCACTTGAATCAGCTTGCGTCTGGCGTTGGTACGTAGGGCCTTTGGGGAACTTCCGCGCTCTGAGTACTCTCAAGTTTGAGTCCGAGCTCTCTATGTCTAGACCTGCGGACAAAAAGTTGGATTAATATGGGCTACCCCTTTAAACCCGAAGCCGCAGAAAAAGCACTTATCGGGCATGGGGATGTTTGGAGTGCAGGGCTTGCGGCTTTAGCTTCGTCCAACCCCGATAAGCCCCGAGCATGCCCTTGCCCTGATCAAGTGTGGGGGGTGCCTTGGCCGCCTAGGTAGAGAATGTCGGGTTGTGCTAGGAATTTTGGGTTTAGGGCTTTTGGAGCTTCGGTTTTTGAGAGCATCCTCCGGCCCAGGGGCACGCATATCTCCGGCCGCGTCATGGCGGCAAAGACGGCCCGCGCCCGCTTTGGCAGCTCCTGGGGAGTCGCCTGCGAGGGCGTAACTTGGGAGAGGGCGAAGCATCATCTGGGGATCCTAGACCCTAATTGCCAAACTCAAAACCCAAGACCCTGAAGCCTAAAACTCAACTTTCGGCCGTCTTTTGGGTTCGAGTTTCTTTCATGGCTTCCCTCACCTCCATGGCCAGCTTGGCCCAGTGCTGCGCCAGCTGCCGCACGCCGTTCGCGTCTTGGAGCTGCGCGGCCGATGCTACCTTAGCCACTCCCCTGATCCGTTGGGGTGGGAAGAACAGGGGCCTGGGCGGGTTCGGTGTCGGGTTTAGAATTTAGGGTGTATAGGGTTTAGGGCTTAGGGTTTGGGTTCAGGGTTTCGGGTTTATAGGTGCACTTCAGTACCCTGAAACTGGGATGCCGAGGTGCGAGGTCGTCTTCACCTGGCAGCTCAATTACAGGTCGGGGTCTATGTGCTCATCTGTTCTAGCTAAATGGGCTCTCTGATTCCCTGAAGGCCAGAAAAACTGCAACCCCAAAACCCCTGAGTCTTATTTAGGGTTTAGGGTTTAGGGTTTAGGGTTTAGGGTTTAGGGTTTAGGGTTTAGGGTTTAGTTTAGGGTTTAGGGTTTAGGGTTTAGGGTTTAGGGTTTAGGGTTTAGGGTTTAGGGTTTAGGGTTTAGGGTTTAGGGTTTAGGGTTTAGGGTTTAGGGTTTAGGGTTTAGGGTTTAGGGTTTAGGGTTTAGGGTTTAGTGTTTAGGTTTTAGGGTTTAGGGTTTAGGGTTTAGGGTTTAGGGTTTAGGGTTTAGGGTTTAGGGTTTAGGGTTTAGGGTTTAGGGTTTAGGGTTTAGGGTAGTTACAATGGTCCCTTAGTATGGGCCGTTCAATTGGGGACCCTTCTATATAAATACCCGAACAGGTTCAGGGCCCATGAAATTACCCTCCCAAAAGCCAACCCGAACTCCCTCAACTCCCCTAAACTCCCCTGAGCCCCAAGCCCCAACCCTAAACTCTAAGCCCTCAACCCAACCCGAAACCCCAACCCGAAGCCCTAACCCTAACCCCTAAACCCTACAGGGCCTAGGCCGCCCTGCAGGGGGGGCGGCGATTAGCTTAGGGCTACCCCAAAACCCCAGACCAGTCAAGCTAGGCTGAGGCCAGGAGGGGTGTGGCAACACACGCCCGCACCCTTTGACCCCCTGGCTGCTGAAAGTGGCCATGGGTGACGGAAAGGTTTTTTTGAAAGTAAGCGATTGTCATGAGTTTATAGGTTTGGGTGGTTTTGCCGCCTCGGACGGCGTGGGGTGGGAGAAAAGTATTAGATGGCCCTCCACAATCGGGCCAGAGCTGCTCTTCGCACCTGACTGACGAGGCATTCAAGCCGCTTCTGCATCCTAACCTTCACAGCATCTACGCCCTACTATTTTCAGCAGACCCTAAACCCTAAACCTAAACTGCCCAAAGCTCTCCACTGCCCAAAGCTCTCCCTCCCAGTTCGCCTTCCAGAGCACGGCGCATCAGGGTCTTGGCCAAGTCGGTGCCCATCCTTCCGACAAGGACGCTTTCAGGGCTCAGGGGGCTCCTGGGGTATAGGGTTTAGGGTTTGAGGTTTACGGTTCAGGGTTTGGGTAGGAGTTCCGAACTTCCGGGAGTTTTGTCTTAAGGGTTTTCCGGGCGTTCCGGGGTTGAGGAGCTCCGAAATTCCAGGATTTAGGGCTTGCGGGTTTAGGGGTGCAGAGTTTCAGGGTTTAGGGATGCTAAGATGAAGCTGGTCGAACAGCAATCCTCCAAAGTCTACGCCCATACAAACAAAGGCCAACCCGGCTGAAGAGGATCGGGCCCCACCAGCACCAAAATCATACAACCAAAGCTGCTGAACCCTGCAATACCCCATTCTAAACTGTAAAGGTAAAGCCACCTCCAGCAAATCGTAGACAGAGGCTTTTTCTAGTGTTGATTGGCGCTCCCATGCGCTCCCCAATATCGCCTGCCTCGATACAGCTGTGCCCCAAAGCCCCTGAGAGCCTCAACTGCGCAAACGAGCAACAATAGTAACCTAAGCCGCAACACCCAAACCCCTAAAGGCCCTCCTAAAGGCCCTGAAGCCCTGAAGGCCTTAAAGGCCCCAAAGGCCCTAATTCTTCCAAGCGCTGCAGCTGGTCTGCTCAGGCAAGTTGCAGGGCCGCGCGGTGCGAGGCGCAGACGCTCCGCAGAGCCTTCCGCGCCTGGCTTAGGGCTTAAGGAAGGTTTGGGGCTTTACAAGGTTTAGGATATTTAGAGTATAGGCTTAGCTTAGGGTTTAGGGTTTGTAGGGTTTGAAAGGGTTTGCAGGGTTTGTAGGGTTTAGGCAAAAAAAATTGGGCTTCGGGGTTTACAGGGTTTAAAGAGCGCTGTTTGTAGGGTTCGAGGGTCTGGCCCTTTTCGGGGACGCGGTCTGGCGGGAAGAGGGTTGAGGATTCCTCGGCCTAGGGAGCTTCCGGAGGATTGGGGGAGGGGCCCGGGGGGACCAAGTAGAAGTCAACATCAGAAGGGTTTAGGGTTTAGGGTTTAGGGTTTAGGGTTTAGGGTTTAGGGTTTAGCTACACCAGAAAAATCTTGTGATACTGGCCGGCGGCCAGTTTGTTAGGTGAAAGTGCGGGCTGATGCAGATGAGACCGGTTTTCGGTCAACGCCCGCGGCTGACGCTCATGATGCCGGAACTAAGGCCGGCTTTCATGTATGTGTACGTAGATAGGTATATTTGATTTATGTGTATTTGCACAGCATAAGAGGTACCATTGATAGAGATCACTATGTCGCAAATTGATGCCTCTTTAGAGTCAAGTTAGCCGGATTGAGATCCACCCCGTTGTTCAAAACTCCTCTTAAAACAAAGAGATACAAAGATATTCTGAACATGGTTGCCGAAAACCTAAACCCTAAATTCTAACCGACAATCACACATAGCGCAGGCCTGTGGCCGAGCCAGACGCAGGTCCAGCAAGAACGGCGCAGCTTGCAAGCACGGCAGGGCTTCGATGAGCGCGCACGAGGACACCACCTTGCAAGAAGCTGAGACGATTAGGGTTTAGGGTTTAGGGTTTAGGGTTTACGGGTTTAGGGGTTTAGGGTTTAGGGGTTTAGGGTTTAGGGCCGTAGACCCCTAAACCCTGAGACCCGAACCGGTTGAAAGCAGAGAGAGGTTCGGTGCAGGTCTGCTGAGGCAACTCTTGGGATGACTGGAAGTGCAACCCTATAAATCTCCTAAAGCCCTCCTCCACAAAACAACCATCATGGCAACCAGGGTCGCAGTCATGATGTGATCGCGATTTGATCATGATGATAATTGTTGACGGTGGTTGCGACGACGATGATGCGAAGTCGTAGCTGCTAGCGATCTTGATACCACAGTTGTTATTGCTGTTGTTCCTGGTTTGATAGCACATGCTATTGCGAATTGCCGTTTCTGTTGAGTTTTTGCATTTGATTAGCATTGATCGTAGGATTTTTGTAATTTTGTACCAATACTAATTTTTGGTTGCCTGTCGTCTTCGAATAGCCATACTGACTGTGAATGACGAGAAGAATCATAGTCGTCATGGCACTGAGCATTACCATGTTGTAGCTGTTCCCCTGTTTCCTGAACCCAACCTTAAAACCCTCAACTCAACTTTCGGAAGAGAGAAAAAAACTTACCTGAGCTGAGCTCATCTGAGCTGAGGCCTGAGGTTGTCGGGCCCTGAAATCTTCAGTCTCCAGGCCAGCCCCAAGACTAAGATTTCCTCATAAAATGCTTTTGTACCGAGGCCGGGCAATCAAATTTCCAAGGGGGTAGTCCAGCAGCTGCCCGAATGCCGTATAATGTAAAACCTTTGCTCCCCCGGAAGTATATTTTTTTGCGGGCTAGTTGGGTTTGGATCCAGAGGCCTAAGGGCTGAGGCTTCCTAAACCTTGAGGCCTGAGGTTGTCGGGCCCTGAAATCTTAAGCCTCCAGGCCAGCCCCAAAGCTAAGATTTCCTTATAAAATGATTTGTACCGAGGCCGGGCAATCAAATTTCAAAGGGGGTAGTCCAGCAGCTGCCCGAGTGCCGTTTGATATAAAACGCTTGCTCCCCCGGATTTTTTTCATTTTTGCGGCTGGCTCGGTTGGGATAGATGGATCCCCTTTAAATTCGTACGCAGACAACATTACCTAAGAGGAAGAGGAGAGGAAGAGGAGAGGAAGAGGAGAGGGAAGAGGAGCCAAGAGGAAACGAAGAGGAGCCGGGGGGGGGGAGGGGCCGAAAATTAGTTTGGGGGATACCCTTTTTTTTGTTACTATTGCGGGGGCGGAATTAGTTTGGGGGAGGGGGGGGGGCCCCCCACTAATCAGGAGACCACATTGACCCTAAACCCTTAAAACCCACCCCAAAACCCTTAAAACCCACCCCTAAACCCGAAACCCTAGCCCTAAACCCTTAAAACCCACCCCCCAAAACCCGAAAACCCTAAACCCTAAACCCCAAACCGTAAACCCCAACACTTCTCCAAATCTGGGCAAGGGAACCAAGGGCTCCAGGGGCTGCAATGTAGAATCGGGGAGGTCCCGGAGCCTTGGCTGAGGTCTTCTATGAAGCAAAGGTAGGAGCTTGGGGGTTTAGGGTTCAGGGTTTGAGATTTGGGGTTCGGGGTCTAGGGTTTGGGGTATAGGGTTTAGCGTCTCGGGTTTGCGGTGGGGGGATTACGGTTCTGTGAAGATTTTGGGACTTTGGAGAGCTTAGGTCTATAGCATAGCTCCCAGGTGGCCAAAAAGGCTACTGACTTAGCACCTTCGGGAGCTTGGCGAAGATGAGGAGTGCCGCCTCAGTAGCCTTCTGCACCTACCAGGCACACGCCGCCAGGGCTTTAACCATCTTTAATCTGCTTAGGCACGAGTTGAGGGCTCTTAGGGCTTCTTATCGCGTTGTGGGTCTGAGGCTTGGCGAAGATGGCTCTGCAGTTGAGGATGCAGGGTTGAGGCCTTGGGGGTATGTAAGAGGGTTGAGGAAATCATCACGAGGGCGTGTAGCTTGAGGACTCATGGTGAGCCATGCACTCACGCTGCATGTCTCACAGCGGCATGCGATCATATCCCAAGTCCTCGAGAAACCTCTCAAGATAAACTTCATAACCCTAAGTAAGCCCCCTCTGAAAAAAAGCCTAGACACTAAACCCTCCTACCCTAACCCTAAAACCCCCAAAACCCAGACACACTAAACCCTGAAACCCCTCCTTGAACAACATCCGTGAACCCTGAGAGGGGGGGGGGAGGGGTTCAGGACTTCGGGTTTCGGGTTTAGGGCTTAGGGTTTAGGGCTAGGGTTTAGGGTTTAGGGTTTAGGGTTTAGGGTTTAGGGTTTAGGGTTTAGGGTTTAGGGTTTAGGGTTTAGGGTTTAGGGTTTAGGGTTTAGGGTTTAGGGTTTAGGGGGAGAAGGGATCCTGTGCCTCTTCCTTCTTGCCGCCCTTGGCGTACTCGGCCAGGAGCCAAAGGGCCGCTTCGGCGCGCTGCCAGGAGCCGCCAGCAGTGAGAACCTCTTGGGGGGGGCTCTAGGGCTTCAGGGTTTTTAGGGTTTTAGGGTCTTAAGGTGTTGGGTTTAGGTGCTTAGGGGTTTAGGGTTCAGGGTTTAGGGTTCTAGGGTTTCAGGGTTTTCAGGGCGTTTAGGGCGTTTAGGGCGTTTAGGGTTTTTAGGGTTTTTAAGGGTTTCAGGGCTTAGGGGTTTAAGGGTTACGCGTTAGCGGTTCAGGGTTTTGAGGTTCAGGGGTTCAGGTTTTCGGGTGTTCAGGTCGCGGGGATCCCTCTGAGCTTTCGAATTTTCATTACGTCCTTGTTCTTGGAAGGTTTGATCCACCAGGGGTTCCTTTCAGGGACCAAGTAGAGCAGCTCCCTCTTTGTTAACCCCTAAACCCTAAACCCTAAACCCTAAACCCTAAACCCTAAACCCTAAACCCTAAACCCTAAACCCTAAACCCTAAACCCTAAACCCTAAACCCTAAACCCTAAACCCTAAACCCTAAACCCTAAACCCAAACCCTTCAGCCAATCTTCGAATTTGAGTCCCTAGGAGCCTTCCTCAGATCCTCAAATGCCGGCTCAACGAGGGTCACGCGCCTGGAGCGCCATGGCTGAAACCGGGCTTGTGGTTTTCGGGTGGTTTCGGGTTTCGAGAGATGCCTGTAATTGAGGTTTAGGATGTAGGTCTTAGGGCTTCCAATTCGGGTTTATGCCCTTCGGCTATTGCATTTTGAGCTGTTGGAATTGGAGGGCTTAGGGTGAAGGGTCTGCTACAAATTTCAGAGGGAATAGCGAGGGAGATGGGTATGCAGGGAAACCCACCCTACATCCCTAAGGCCTTTAAATCCAAAACCCTAGGCCCCGAAACCCTAGAGCTTAGACCGTAAGCTGCTTACCCTAAACCCTAAACCCTACTACGGCTTCATCGGACCTTGTCCGGACGGTTGTTGCCGCAAGCTGATGTGACCCCTGTAGCCCTCAACAGAACGTTGACATGCTAAATCCTAAGCCCTAAACATCCCTAAACCCCATGGTTTAGGGCTTGAAGTTTCGAGTCAAATCCCTAGATCTAAACCTTTGCCCTAGTACCCCAAACCCTAAGGCGCAACCCCTAAACTCCAAATCTTGAAACCTACGACGGCCCCCAAAAAAGAATCCTAACCCCCCAAGCCCCAGGGTTTCATGGCCTGGGCGAAGCTAGCTGCCACGCCCCCGCCAAGGACCTCGGATCTGCGTCGTTTGGAGAGTTTCGGGGTATCGGGCTCGCCCTAGGTGACTAAACCTGAGGCCCCAAACTCCAGCTGTAGGCAAGCGGCCAAAGGGCCTCGCGCAGGGGCTCTGTGTCCTGCCAGCAGGGCTTAGGTTTTGGGCTTAGGGCCTCATTTGTGGGCAGGTTTTAAGGTTAGCGCTCAGGAAGGCTGCCGCACCAGAAGCCCTGACAATCCCTCTGCCATAGAACACAAGCCTGAAGAAGTCCAAGCTCCTGCCTTAAAAACGCCATTAAATCATCATCTGAACCACTCAACAACACCCGTCCATCTACAGCAAGTTCTAAATTTGCTCTTGTAGATCTGTTCAGGGCTCTGAATTCTTACTTGTGACATCCTCTTAACTTATTGCCTTCGACAGTCTTTCCTCCGCAGCACCCAAAAAAATACCCCCCCTACATCCTGAAACCCGAAACCCCGAATAAACCGGCCCCTCTACTTCTCGTAGGGGCTCTGTGGCCGGCCTCCCCGTCAACCCACTCTGCAGCCATGAAGAAACCTCACAAGGCAAGATCTTCGGGCTTAGGGTGGTTTAAGGTCCATGCGTTTCAGGACTGCAGGTCTTCGTGCAGGGCCGCACATACCCTCAATCTTGCAATGAAATAAGCCTTGCAAACCCCTAAACCCCTGAAGCCTAGGATGTAGCTAAACCTTAAATTTTGAGCAAAAGTACCCTCAGAGCTCAAACCTGCGGGTGTTCCAAGGGGGGGTGTTCCAGTAGGGCTTTCAGTGCCCAAGATGTCCTAACCCCTTAACCCTAAACCCTACAACCCAATACCCTATAACCCTATAACCCTATAACCCTATAACCCTATAACCCTATAACCCTATAACCCCATAACCCTGGCCCTATAACCCTATAACCATAAACCCTAAACGCCTCGAAACTCCAAGCGGCATTCCCGAAAGCGGGCGAAGGCGATGTCAAAACGAGGATCCTCACGTTATGGTGTAGGGTTTAGGGTTTAGGGTGAAACAGCTTTGCATGCATATGAAGGACTCACTCAGGGGTACCCTTTTTTGGTAATAAGGACTCTTAAGTTTTTTTTTAAGTGGATGTAGGAAGATGAAGGATTAAGGACCGGGATGAACGCAGCCCCAAAAACACTCTTGCTTTGGGACTGTGGTGAGAAGTCAAAACAGAGCCCGAATGAAGGCTCACACTCCACAACCAAACAGCAACCTGGTGCAAACTTCCGTCTCTTGTCTTTGCTGCGGTGGCCCAATAGATACATACATAGCCCAACCCTAGTTAAGCCCTCTCTGGTTTTCTCTTCCTTTTTTTCTCTCACTCTCTCTCTCTCTCTATCTTTTTCCCTCTCTCTTTCTTTGTTCTTCTCTCGCTCTCCTTTCTTTCTTTCTTTCTTTCGGAGGGCGTGGGGGCCGGAGCCCCCGGGCGTCATCGCCCGCCCCGGATCGGGGTGGATCGAAGGTTCGGTAGGCGACGATGGTGTGAGAGACTTGTCTTTTCCCCGCCCCCCGTACTCGCCCTGTAAGAGCTCCCTATATGTCCCCGCCCCCCTCATGCCGCTATGTCTCCACACACCTCGTCTGTGAGACATTGCCTTATCGATCCTGCGCAGGACTATGAGTGCCCCAGCAACTCCAACACGTAGCCAACTACCCTCGAACAGCCCCTAAGGTTTCGCCCTGCCTGCTTCGTGGATCGGTGAAACGGGGTGTGACCGGTTTCGACATGTTGGACGAGTCTTGCCCCCCTTAGAGCCCACCTACCCATACTGGAAACTTATTGTGCCCTACTCCCCTTACTTCGCGTCCAACATGTGTTGCTCTACGGCCCCCTCTTGTTCTGGGCACTGCACTTTTAGGAAGTCCCCTGTTGTATTGCACCAAACCGCCTCCTACAGACCGTGCTGAACCACACCCACAAGACCCCCTAGTTGACTCCCTGTGCCTCTCGGTATAGGGCTGGCTCTCTCTCTCTCTCTCGCTCTCTTTCGCTCTGTCTCTCTCTCTCTCTCTCGAAGAGCGTGCCCACGGTGAGACCACTCAGCAGCTTGCTGTAAGGGAGCATGGTAAATAAGAGGCAACAAGTTATAACGCGAGCCATCGAGGGACTTTGCCTTGCAAATTCTGGCAGGATGAAATGATCAACCGCAGGACGACTTGCACACATGATATGCAGACTATCTGCAACACTCTTCAGCTAGGCCCGAAGATGGGACCAGGGGTCTCCTTGGGCCAGGCAGAAAGCCCCGGCAGTGAGTGCACCAGCAACCAGAACTGGAAACGTTGTCTACTAAAGTTCCGGATAGCCATCAGAGTTTGAATTGCCGCAGTTTCCCTGTAAGGCCCCTGGGGTGCCCTCCTAGACAGCATTGTGGGATAGTGGTTGGTTGTGAAACAAGCCTGTGGAATGCTACAGCTGTCCCACACTGCTGGCCTGGCTATTGGAAGCACCTGACGAAGTCTTCGCCTTTACAATTTACACCCCAAAACCCCATAACCTGCCCCAAACCCCAAAACTTTAAGCCCTAAACCCTTGACACCCAAAGAGCCCACACCGTCCTTGGTCTCACCAAGCTGCTGAACCATACGGGACCTTCGCGGGACATGTCTTCGATGCGACACTCATTCGTTGGTATGTCAAGCGTGCCCCAGAGTAGGGCTTAGGGCTTAGGGCTTAGGGCTTGGGGTTTGGGGTGTAGGGTTTAGTGTTTAGGGTTTACGATTACAAAAAAACTGAGAGAAGGTAGAAGACTGGTCATACTGAGACACTCTACATTCTGCAATGCTTTAAATCTGTCTCTGTATCCTGTCTTCCTTGAGACAGGCTTGTGCGTCTTGCGCCTGGAATATTCACCTCCAAGAACCCCTCCTTCTAAACTGGATCAGAGGATTCCCGCATGTGCATTTTGAGCCGTTTTTTGACGCGTGCAGCATCGCTCCAAGCGGCGCTTCTGAAATGGGTTTAGGGTTTAGGGTTTAGGGTTTAGGGTTTAGGGTTGAGGGTTGAGGGTTGAGGGTTTATGGGGTTTAGGGTTTATGGGGTTTCTGAGCCTAAGTCCAGGGCTGGTTTGTTGAACAGTCGGAGTGCCAGGGAATGAAAGCTGTAACAATGATATGGTATAAGCATCATGTACAACAGGAGTGGCGCAAGAGCACAAAGCAGTTTGCAATCAGCGCTCCGAGCGCAAACCGTCAGAAGCACTTGAGGACGTAGGCCCTGAGCCTGACCTGCCTGGAGCGAGACAGTGCCCGTGCCGAAGTCGATGCTACAGGGAGTTTACAGTAGGTTGTGTCGGTGTCAAGGCAGGGGTGTCGAGAATGGCGTGCAATGTCAAGGGTGGCAGGTGTTCAGTGTCGGAAAAAACAGAAATCGCGATCCGGCTATAGCCCGGTAGCGTTGCAAGGCCCAAATCCCTGAGCCCGACACCCCATAAACACTGCACCCCCCAACACCCACAAACCCCGCACCCCCTAAATATACAAATCAGCAAACCCTAAACACCCCCCAAACCAAAACCCTCTGAATCTAAAAACCCTGTATATATCCCTTGCTTCTGAGATCCAGACCACAGCTCAACGCCCGCCAGGCGGGTTGAAATCACAGGCGCCTGGATCGGAGCTGCCACGATTACCGTACAGGTTTAGGACTCATTTTCCTCTTATTATTTGTTTTGTGTGTAGGAATGCGCGTGCTATCGATTATTTTGTTCCGTTGGTCATGCTAGTTGAGTTTACTTGAGGCTGCATCTATGAACTTTTTGTTCATGCATTGTTTGCGTAGCGCATAAATATAAAACCCTTTGCCCTGAACCCTCAAACAAAACTTGCTTTCCGTGTTTTTGAGAAAATACATAAAATTCACGAGAATGGGTGACGCTAGAATAGACCCCCCAATAGTAGGATTCCCTTATGAGAAGGACCCCCACGGTACCCTAGTTTCGGAAACCACCATATGTGCGTGGTGATACCACAGGGAGCGGAGGGCTGACTACGAAACCAAGATCCTACAACTAATAGACGCATGCAGCCCTTTTTGTGGTGTTAAGGCTTAGGAATTACGGCTAGGTAGGGCTTAGGGTTTAGGGCTTAGGCTTAGGGAGGCTTAAGGGTTTAGGGTTTAGGGAATCAAATGCCGCTCTCACCCATTTTTCCCCCGAAACCGTACTGCCATCGAAATGTCTTGATCCCTCTTTGAGCCGTCAGCACCCGAAACTCTGCACCTAAACCCTAAACCCGAAACCCTAAACCCTAAACCCTAAACCCGAAACCCTAAACCCTAAACCCTAAACCCTAAACCCTGAACCCTGAACACTGAACCCTGAACCCTGAACCCTTGAATCCCGGAGCCCGATGGACGACACTTGGACAGTTGCAAGTGGGTAGCGCAAGACTCTTCCAGAATCTAAACCGCATTGCGATCTGGTTTGATCTAAGCCTCGTATGAGACTCGCTGAGTATAAAGGAAACTTCCCACCTGAATCTGCCTAACACTTGTGGTTCCATTTCCCTTCAAGCCCGCATTCCTCCGCCCGAAATGCCCTACATCCTTAAAACCCTCAATCCTTAACCTAAACCCACATGCGTTGGTACTTGCGAGTGCGTTTTTCTTCACTTTTCCTGTCAGGAGTCCGGAGAGGGGGTGGTAGATGGTTTGGGACGAGGGTTTGTTGCGATCATGTTTCGCTAACCATTTTAAGACCCTGCTATTTACGGCGTTTTTGCCTCTTTATGCAGCATGTTGCAGGAGGATGTTTGATGTTCAGCAACACGAGGGGCTGTCACCAGTGTTCATGCCATTTGCGAACATGCCCCCCCAAAACATGCTATTTACAGCGATTTGCCTCTTTTTACAACGTGCGTCTCATCGAATACCTCTACACAGAGTCTGTCGCTTCACTTGGGGAAAGTGTGCAACAAGGAGTGCCCCAAGTTTGAACTCCTTCATGTCCTGAAGCACGAATCATATCCCTCACACGCACGAAGTCCTGCAATTATGCCCGAAAACGTACAGGCCTGCCGCCACATGGCCAGACATCAGCGTGTGACCCCCTAAACCCTAAACCCCGGAACCCGAAACCCTATCTACACCCTGAAACCCTACACCCTAAAACCCTAAAACCCTAAAACCCTAAAACCCTAAAAGCCCAAAAACCCGAAATGTTGGCCGGCCTGGAGCAGGAAAGCAGCAGGCTCCAGCAGGTCCAGGCCACACGGCGGCAGGTCCAAGAGGACGCTTGCTGCCTCAAGTCACTGGTGCGGAAGGCGTTGGTGTTTAGGGTTTAGGGTTTGGGGTTTGGGGTTTGGGGTTTAGGGTTTAGGGTTTAGGGTTTAGGGTTTAGGGTTTAGGGTTTAGGGTTTAGGGTTTAGTATAGGGTTGACGGTTGCGGCTATGGGGTTAACGGCTTGTGTTGGGGGGATGGTTAGAGGGATCCACTCCCCTCCGGGGGGAGGTGCAAGCAAACTATCCCACCAACGATTGAAAGTGGGTTGGCAAGCCATCTGCGCAGAGCTCGGATTTAGGGATTAGGGGTTTAGGGTTTAGGGTTTAGGGTTTAGGGTTTAGGGTTTAGGGTTTAGGGCTACTGGGATTCTGAGTATTCTGTCTTGTGGAATCAAGGTGCAGGGGCAAGTTCAAGAACTCTCAGGCGCCGGCGGCATCCACATGTCCGCCAGCCAAGGCAGTAAGGGCAGCATGGAAGAGACCTCACGGTCTCATCTCAGAACCCTAAGGGTCCGTGTACCTAAATGGGGAATACTTGGGCCTATATATAGTAACTTTGGGGTCTAAGTATACGATATTAAGGTACATGGACGCTTAGGGGAAGGGTGTTAGGGCTAAAGAGGTGGCGTAATTAACATGATGCTACAATGATTGGACACTCCAAGCTTGAGATTGAAGATCACGGTCTAAAACCAACCTGCAATCACCAGGCAGCACATATTGAGGAAGAGCAAAGAGAGGAGGCGGATAAGAGGACCAGGAGGAGGTCGCAATCGGAGGTCGCTTGGCTGACGGTTGTTCTTCCGGGCTGGGGAGGGGGACACGGTCCCCTTCCCTAACGGTGCCCGGTCAGGCCATGGAACCACTTTTGCATATGGGGCAGCCGGAGTTGCATATGATGTCGAACATTATTGAAGAGTGAAGATTCCCGGGCAAGTTTTCTGCGAATCCTCGAGTATTGCCTTCAAATCATCTCAACACGAAACACAAGAAACAATTCGAAGCGTTTAGGATTTGTTCAAGGATTTGGAATGGACAACTGAAGATTTATCGACAAACTTCTCGGCATGCACTTGTTTCGCTGCCCCAAAAACACACATTGATTTGTTAAGCTTTCCGCCGCATATGGAGGCTTAGGTCAGCCACCCCTATTGAAGAGTTGCCCGGGGCGCCATGCTTGCGAAACCCGAAGCAAGGATCTGCAGCTCACTGTGAGAGGTTTCTTTTTGGGTTTAGGGAGGAAGGTCTAGGGCTGCTGGGGGTTTAGGGTTTAGGGTTTAGGGTTTAGGGTTTAGGGTTTAGGGTTTAGGGTTTAGGGTTTAGGGTTTAAGTTTAGTACAGGAAGTTCGAGCCCTTCAACCAAATGGCCTCGTTGCAGTCCGACCCTTAAAGACATTCCGGAGCTCCGGGGCTGTGGCCTACAGGGTCTACCTACATGGGCCATTATACCCTATAGCCCCCCAAAAAAAGGCCCTTTGTAGGTTGGTTCGGGGGATTATCAGGCCTAATAGCTCATGCTGGTAGGGGTCTTAGGCTTCTAAGGCTCAAGGTTGCTTCGGGTGAGCTCTGGGTCGAAGTCTCTCTGACTGACGCTTGATTGGCTTGAGCGGCTTGAGGCGCTTGCGTCTTTCAATTCCTTGTCGGTCGGGTTGGGGAGAGCCCCCTCTGAACCCCAAAAACCCCAAACCCTAACCCTAAGCCCTAAACCCAAAACCCTCCTAAACCCTCCCAACGCCTTCTAAACCCTCCTAACCCCTCCCAAACCCTTCTAACCCCTCCTCAACCTCCCCCCCCAACTCTCAATGCAGCCGGGCGGCGCTGGCAAAGCGGCCCTGGCAGGCGTTCCGCCTTCCAGGCGATCCCCCTAAACCACAGAAAGCTTTAATTTGTTTAGGGTTTAAGGTTTGAAGGTTAAGGGTGTAAGGTTTAGGGCTTAAGGATTAAGGCTTAGGGTTTTAGGTTTTCAGGTTCAGGGTTTAGGGTTTAATGGTTTGAAGGTTTAGGGCTTTCGAGTTTAAGGTTTAGGGTTTAGGGTTTAAGGTTTAAGAAGGCTTAGGGCTTAGGATTGTTGGTTTGAAGGTTTAGGGTTTAAGGGTTTAAGGGTTTAAGGGTTTAAGGGTTTAAGGGTTTAAGGGTTTAAGGGTTTAAGGGTTTAAGGGTTTAAGGGTTTAAGGGTTTAAGGTTTAGGGTAGGGCTGCGTCCTAGGGTTTCACGAAATCTCTTAACCTAACCCCCTGCCCGTCCTACCCCCCCGGAGGTGCTTCAGGTTTACAGGGTTTAGGGTTGAACAGTAACAAGAAATGCTGCGACGGATTGTTCACGCCCCCGACCGTGCATGTAGAAACATTCATTTCGTTTTGTAAAACGCCGTACAAGCAGCGATGTTCATGGTTTCTTATCCGTGTGAAACCTGCATATTTGTGTTTCCACACGGACAGGTGCTCGAACTCGAGGAGCTTCACGTTCGCACCTTTTCTGGCAATGAGCAGTCAAGAGCATCGCAACCGACAGTCTGTCACCAATTCAGTGTGCTCGTGCGATCCCAAAAACTGGAGGAATTTGACGTCTCGGCAGTGGCCCGAGCGAAAACAACCAAGAGCGACAAGCGCACACAAACTCACAGGTTGCAACCGAACCTGAACATCCCTGCATGCTGACCGCTCAATACCCAACCCAAACTCCCTTCAAGAGCCGCCAGAAAAACTACAAAACCCGGGAAAATTCTACAGCCCCCCCAAGGCTAAGGGCCCTAAGACACTTCTACCCCCTAATACCGACCTTCGGGATCTCGTAGATTCGACCTGCAGCAACCGCGGCTTCGAGATGCTGCGCCACCGGCGTCTCAGCGATGCCATCCGGAAACCTCCGTTTAGGGTTTAGGGTTTAGGGTTTAGGGTTTAGGGTTTCAGGCTTAGCCTTAGTTTTTTCGGGTGGAGACATTCGGGGGGCTGCTTGGAGGTGGCGAGTCCGACTTCGCGCTGGGGCTCTGGGGAATCCTGTCTCAGCCCCACCAGCTCATCCCCCAAAATGCTGATACCCTAACCGGCATCGATCTCGCTGTAGGCCTACTCCAGACCCTAAATAAATTTCACACAACCCCCCCCCCCCCCCCCGGCCCCGCCAAAAAAAAGAGTATATATATATATATAGAGTATATGTATATATATATATAAATAGAGTATATATATATATATATGTATATATAAGAATAAAAGAACCCGTAACGTCAGTCTTCAGTCTGTACTGCCTGAGGGCGCACGACAGGAGCCGCTCGTCACAGCCGCAGCCAAAGCGAGGAGCCAGCTGGTGACCTCGTCGCAGGGGACCGGCATATGGAAGCTTTGCAAGTGGTAGGGGAAAAAACCCTCAAAACTTCCGGGTTATAGTGTTCCTTAAGTCATTCTTGAAAATATGGTTGAGCTGCAGGGTGCTGGGGGTCTTGGGGCTTGAGTGGCACGGGTCCGGTATGGGCTCAGGCGTCGCAAGATTGAAAAACACGAGGCCCTTCTCCCAAAAACTAGGAGTTGCAACTACCTTGGCCCAATGCCCTAAGCCCACCTTCCCCCTGGCCTTTACCTCTCACCCCCCTGAAGTGAACCCCTGAAACGAAACCCAGAATCTTGAAGCGATCCAAACTGTCGGATGGGCGGCAGACTCCCGTCAGCTCTGGTAAAGGAGGTGGCAGGGCCAGCAACAAATCCAGGCCGACCTGATTTGTAGCACACTTGCGAGGGTCAGTGACAGGTTGGGAAACCTTCCTGACTTCTTGAAGTTTATGGGGCTTAGATTTTGGGTGTCTTTTTGGTGGCGGGTTTCTGGAGCCACGTGCAACGCTCAAGGGCTTAGACGAAGTTCTGAGATTGGAATCCAATCACGAAGATATACTGCTGACGGACAAAGTACCACACGACTCTATCGGCCTATGAGAAGATGGCCGCATATGGCATCTACAGTGATGCAGGAAGTTGTTCATCAGCACCGCCGATAGGCATGTAGCTGTGAGGTCGAAAGAGCATGGTAACAAAAAGTTCCTGCAATATGTGGGCGATCTTTTTGGCAGCTTTCTTTTGCATCAGCTCTCAATTTGCTGCCGGTGCCTCACGCCTCCCCCTCAAGACTCACTCAAGCGTGTGGTGTTCAGCGTGTTCAAGAGTAACAAGCCATGCAGTTCAGCCTGAGTGCGCTTATTACTAAGCAGGGGAACAAAGAAACTACTGACCGTTGCTTGGAGTGCCAGGATGTCACATCTAAGGCTGTTAAGGAAAGGTTCAGCCGAGCCGCTTCATGCACAGCGACTCGTTTCGAGTAGAGCTTTGGGGATTTCAGGATTAAGATTTGTAGGGTTGCTGTCTGCAAAGAAACGAGGAGCTTGATTCAGTGCCACGGATTCGCCTTTGGCATCGCCTACCCCAAACCTCAAGCGCTCCGACATATTCGGGACAAAGATGGTGACTACATGCTTCATGTAGGACCGAGGTTGACGTTTCAGGATTCTGTTTTGTCTTGAACCTTTCCTAAACCCTAAACCCTAAACCCTAAAACTAAACCCCAAACCCCAAACCCTTCCTCTAATGCAGATGGGTAGCTGACCAGCTGTCTGCATGGCTAAGGAAGGTCAACGCCCTTGGTGCCTACAGGTCTTCACAATAGCCGGACTCACCGTATCAGGCGCGAGACGTAATCACCTACACTGCCACTGGTGGTTCCTTCCGGGTGCCCCATGTTCTGCTGAACTGCAGGTTGGGAACCTCCAATGGAGAAACTGACATTTGGAATTTCGGCTGCGAGGAAACCCATCGGCTTGCGGGCGAAAGTGCGAGGGACGTCCCGGTTGCAAACGCCAGTGCCGCTAGAAGCTCCCGGCGTGCTGCAGGGGCCACGCGTGCTGCCTGTGGGGGTTTAGGGTTTAGAGTTTAGGGTTTATATGGTTTAGGGTTCAGGGTTCGGAGGGTGGGTCAATCCAACCCCTTGGCCCCTTGGTGTCTTGGCCCCTGGATCCTTTACCCCCTTCGCCCTTTAATCCGTCCACCCTTGAACCCCTCAACACTTCTACCCTTTCACCCTTTTACCCTTTAACCCAAGCCCTTAAAAAACCCTTCAATGCTAATCCCTGAACACGTCAACCCTTTCACCCAAAACCCCTTGATGCCAGGAGCTCGGGCAATCTAGCGGCTGTCTGGTTCTAGAGCTTTGCGAGGCATATTTCGACTGCATACACAAGACCCAGGAGTAACCTAGGAATGAAAAAATGAGGCCCTTTTTGGGGTAAAGGGGCTTATAAGGCAACCCAAGCCCCAAACAAGGAGAATAAGAACCTACTCTGGGTCCTAGTACAATAGTTAGGGTTTACATGAGGGATTTTCAGGTCTTGAGGTTTGTAGGGCTGTTGAGTGCTTTAGGGCGATGAGTTCGCGCCGCCTCTTGCAAGAGCCACTCGTAGTTGGCAGCCTTTCGCAGCAGGCGCAAATCCCACACACCCTAAACCCTAAACTCTATACCCTAAACCCTAAGCCCTAAACCCTACACCCTAAACCTACAGTAGAGACCCAAACAGGCCCCCAGAATTCAGAGCCCCAAGAAAGCTCTGCTCTTTGTGCATCTGGACTTCCCACTCTGGTGCTTAGGGTTTAGGGCTTAAGGTTTCGGGGTTACGGCTTAGGAAAATCTAGCGCGGGAAGTCCCAGCTTCATTCGCAAGTCCGCCGGCCAGACGTGTCACAGAGAGGTCTGAGCCTGTCTGCACCCCTTGTAAAACCGAAGCCCCGAACCTTAAACCCGATGAAGCCCTGAAACCCCCCGAGCCTGTTTGTCGTGTGTGTGGCAGATGAGGCGGTGCACGGTCGAAGCGGCAAAGAACTGCACCTCTTTAGAGTAGATGCAGCTTAGGATTTGAGTCTCAGAGGAATGAAATTTAAAACAGGCTTTTGGGCGCAGCGCAAGCGCCCTAGTCACTGTGCAAAGTGTTTGGACGGTGTCGAGCCTGAGGGTTAGGATGCAAGGTCTTTTGTCCCGCCCCTTGATGCAACAAACACACATACACCTACACCTACACCTACGCCTCCGCCTCCGCCTCCGCCTACGCCTACACCTACATCTACACCTACACCTACCCCACATCCACACCAACACCTACACCTACACCTACCCCATACATCTACACCTACACCTACACCTACACCTACACCTACACCTACACCTACACCTACACCTACACCTACACCTACACCTACCCCCACACCTACATCTAAACCTACACCTGCACCTACCCCTATACCCCTACGCCTACGCCTACACCTACATCTACACCTACACCTACATCTACACCTACACCTACCCCTACCCCTACACCTACGCCTACACCTACATCTACACCTGCACCTACACCTACATCTACACCTACATCTACACCTACCCCTACCCCTACACCTACGTCTACACCTACCCCTACATCTGCACCTACATCTAAACCTGCACCTACACCTACACCTACATCTACACCTGCACCTACAGCTATATCTACACCTACATATCTACATCTACACCTGCACCGACCCCTACCCCTACACCTACACCTGCCTCTGCTGAGGGAGACTTCAAAAGCTCCACCGAGATGGCCATGGCGTTCGGAGACTGCTGGAAGGCCTGGCTTGAACTCAAGGGAAGGGGGGGGGGAAATTTTCGGGGGTGCATGGTTTAGGATAGGGTTTGGGGTTTGGGGTTTGGGGTTTGGGGTCTGGGGTCTGGGGTCTGGGGTTCAGGGTTTTAAAGGTTCCGGCGGGGGGGGGGGGGGGGGGGGGGGTTGGGTGACTCGGACTTTTGTTCTGCACCTTCATGGGGGCACATCTCAAAACCATCAAACCCCGACCTGCACGACTTCAAACTCTCAATATGAACCATGAGGGGCCCTAAACCCAAAGGCCTCAAACCCACCCACCCTAAACCACCCTCGCCCTGAATCCCCCAAACCCTGCACCCCCTAGAAGCCTAACCCCGCTGACCCTAAGCCCCGGACTAAACCCCACTTTATGCCTCCAGCACTTGACTTGCTCCCGCATCCCCGGCATAGAGCCGGCGAAGAGCCTCCGGGAGTGTGTGGGTTTAGGGTTTAATCAGGGTTAACTCAGGGTTTAGGGTTGAGGTTTCGGGCTTTCAGGGGTTCAGGGCTTTGAGGGGTTTAGGGTTTAGGCTCAGGTGCTAATTTGGGGGTTAGGGTTTCGGGCTTTTGGAGGTTTTGGGCATCCTGGGGGGTGTTGCAAGGCATTCCAGAGTTGCTTTCCAGGGGTGTTCTTTAGGTTTACTGGGTTTGCGTTCCGGCTGCTGCGAAAAATGTTTTCTCTACCAGGCAAATTCGGTGACACACTGACCCTCGCACTTTTTCTTTCAACCGCTGAGCAAGATGAATCATCAGCAGGCAAGGCCATGTGAAGAGACGACCTGGGCGAGGGGCAGTCAAGTGGGATTGGCCTGAATGAGGCCCTTGACCCTGTGGTTGATGGCAACACCTAATGACTCTTAGAAACCGGCACCAACCATGCAACAGTGCCAACTACCAACTGCTGACACTGAAAGCTCAGGCTCTTGCCAATGCGTACTGACCCTGTTGCATTGAGCGACCCTGTTGTGGCTGCACCTGCTGCATGACTAATAACCAGAACAGGGCATGACTCAACCAATCGTCATCTCCTAAACCAAAGTCACCTGGGACCAAAGTTTTGCTGCTAAGTCTTTAATTAAGTACTCGGAAATGAAGGCGGCGTTCGACAAGTGAGGCGCTGCCTGACCCCAACGACGAGCATATCCAGGTCCAGCCTCAGCAGGTTTGACACCCCTGGCTAAGCCCCAGTATCCGTAGTGGCGATTGGGGTTGACTTCAGGCAGCCCAGGTTTCGGACCTAAGGTTGAGGTTACAAGTTTCAGGGCTAATTTAGGGTGTAGGGGCTAACCCGGTGAAAGAGGTTCGGGCTTAACGGGCTGAGCTAGTACGGTTTGGCGTTAAGGCTGGACCCCTTCAGTGCTCAAACTAACCCTAAATCCTTGACACTCACGTGGGCAAGTTCTTGGCGGCTACCCTGTCAGAATTATGGTCCAAGGCTTGCACCACAACTTTTTAACACTGTGGCTGCCGCACTGCATCATGACGAGCTCCAGTGGCACACGTTGCAACCCATTGGCACTTATTGTGTTATTTAAAGTTATGATTTACTCACACACTAGCCTTGACCACCCTAGTCTTGACTCTATAAACTATTGTGTCACTGGAACATCCGTTGCAACCGCTGCCTCTGAGCATCTCGAGAAGTGTCAGCCAGAGGCTGGCGAGTGACCCTCTCCAGACCCTCAACTGCCACCCCTTCTTCGCGTCGGATTCGTAGCAAGGAGAGCGCGGGCTTCTTCAAATCGTCATTAGCCGTGACCTTGAAGACGTCTGACCCTTCCTCGGTGCTCGGCTCCACCACGGTCACACGTTTGAGCGCAGCTGCCGTGTCCAGAACCTGCTTTGCATTTTTTGTGAGGCCTCTGCGGTCCACTGACAAGGTTGGGACTTGCTGCGGGTGAAGGTGCTCCACAACACGCTCCTTAGTGGGCCGATTGACTCATCATGTCACTTAATATCATGACCCTCACAAAATTGGATTTTCAGAATCAGAAGACTTTCAAAAATTTCAAAGGCAGGCCAGCTGCAGGTTTGTCTGAGACAAAGTCCGGGGCAGTGCAAAGAGCAAGGCCAGAAACAGCAACACCGAATGCCAGGACAGGATTCAGTGCGCAGTGCACCTCTTTCAAATCCTCCACAACAACTAGCGACTTCGATCGCATTGCCTGCGGCAGCGACCTCGCAAAGGAAGACCCTCGATTCACCAGGTCATGTTGGGTAGCATTGAAGACCTGAGCCACAACATCCCAGGGCCCAACCAACTCTGCACAACACCGGGTAAAAAGAACGTGAGGAAACATCAGAACAATTTTAACTTCTTCACCCAGTTGCCAAGTTGAAATTTTCGAACTTCTTGCGGCAAACCACCGTTGTGTCACTGAGCAGAACGGCGTTGCGAGGTGGCGGCAAGGTCGTCGGTTGACCCTGAAGCGCCTTCTCTTTATCAGTCTTCAAGGCTGAACGACGCGTTTCGGTGAAGTTTCTGAACTTCTGGGTTTCCTTGCTGACGGGGATGGCGCCCTTCTCCGCCTCTGTCAACTTGATCATGTTGGGCAGAATGCACTTTTGGCGTTTGGCCTGGCCAGCTGTCATAGCACACAAGGCGTCGGCAGCCTTGCTTTGGCTCTTCTTCAGGGCCGCATCCGTGCATTTTTTAACCCTGGCTGCCAACTCTGGCCCGAAGCGTCGGTTGTAGATCTGGAATCTCCGGCCATGCTTCTCCAGCCAGAGCCGGGCCCACTCCCTTGAGGCAGGGCCAAAGCAATCGACGCCATCGCCGATGACCTCCTCTCTTGACCCTGGGCCATCCAGCTGGCAGTGAAGTATGGCAGCCAGGGCCACGCCACCCAAAGGACCAGCATGCGCAAGCGCTGCTCGCTTCGTTTGACCCAAATCTCTCTCACATGTGCTCGTGACATGCTCCAGCCCCATATAAAAATCGACTACATCGTCCAGGTAGTCGAACTGGCCAAGTTTGCATCTCGCAGCAAAGTCCGCAGCGCCCACCTGACCCCAACAGTCACGATTGACAGCCTGGAGGTCAATGTCGTCTGCATCCATGACCCTGGCATTGTCCTGAAGCAACAACTTTGCTGCTGCTGTGATCTCGGCGCTTGCCTGAGCCTGCTGGGCCGGGCTCTCGACAGGCAGCCTTTTGGCCTGGCAGAGCCGCCGAAACTGGCGGCACAGATTGCCGATTGCGAGGGCACGGTCTGCACCAGCTTTGGTCAGCGCACGCTTCCACGCACCCAGATTGAACGCATTGAAGTCTGCCAACAAGTGACCCTTCAGCTCCGCATCGAGTCGTGCACACGCATCTCGAGCAATCTCTCGCCTTGGCGTTGTCCAGTCGTACCACTACTGGCCAGTTTTGGTGAAAGTATAGCAATCGACGGGCTCGTTATGCCAAACTTCGTCACGAAGTTTGGCATAACGAGGCTCTAATAAGGGCGGTTTCTCAGCTGGGGTTTAGGGGAAAAAAGGTCATTCAGCAGCAGCAAGATTTCGCGGGTTAGGACAGGACTCCTGGAGCATACAGGGCTTAAGGGCTGGGTCTGTCCGAAATGAGAGTCCGACTATTTCAATGCCACCAGGGACCAGGGCCCGAGGTTTAAAGTGAGCAACAGCAGAACGTAATGAACCTTCAAACTTCAATATGAATGTGAATGAAAAAAAATCAATCCCAATCCAGTCCGGGCACATGGCGTGCAAAGCATAGGGCGCACTGCGGTTTGCTTCGTCTTCTGTCCACAAATACTTGACCTTGTGCCCATAGTAGAGGGGAGGGCTTCCTCGGGCGATTTGTATGGATTGCGCTGTCATCGTAGTGTCTGACCCTGATGCTTTGTAAAAAGCGGACACACACTTTTCGGCTCTACAAACGGCCTCCAGAGGTTTCGGTCTCCACAGCTTTAAACTGTTGCAGCACACAAGTAGACACTACTGGAAAACGAGGGGTTCTGGGTTCTCGAAATATTTGACACGGCCCCTCAAAAGTCGGCTGAGTCTGAAGCCAACTTTTGCCTACAAATTTCTGGTGACCCTCAAGTCACGACAATGTCCCAAAAACACATGACAGTTTTACACATGTGCAAGACAAAGTTGCTCCTACTCGGACTCGGACTTTAAGCCCAACTCCAAAGTTTCAAACAAAAAGCTGCAGGTTTGTTAGCAGCTGAAGAAATTGCTCATCGCTTGAGCTAGCTTCTTTAAACACAGCATGCAAAACATTAGCGCTTTCTCAGGGCAAGACGTTGAACGAACTCACTTCTCACGCCAGCTGCCGCTGCGCAGCTGCCAGCGTCGCCAAGCTTACCAAGTCAAGGAAAAGGACCAGGTCTGCAATCCTTACACGCTGCAAGCCGCAATCTTCGATGAGCCATGTGGTCGTAGACGAAGATTCTTGACCCTTGAATGTGGCCACAACTTCTGCGATGGTACTTGGACCCATTTAAGGCCCGAACGTAGCCATGCCCATGCTGCGTGCCAGTGATGCGCGTCACGTGCGTCTGGCACTCAAGCACGGGGACCACATTCTCTTCCATCCATGTCCATAGCTTTTCCTTTAACTCATCGTTTGTCGTATGCGTCGTCGGTGTACACGTACTAGCTGCGCTCGCTAAGTCTTGGGCATCCAATGACGCCTCTTCGCTGGAACTCGCATCTTCTTTCTTCTCCTTCACCTTTTCTCTCTTCCTTCTTCGCAAGGGTTGCGTAGATGATGTAGCCTCGCACTCATCCTCAGAACTTGGACTGAAAAGCTCATTGTGACTTGTGCTCGCCAATGACAAGGATGACGGAGTCGCTGAAGCACTGGTGGTAGTCGCCATCCATCCACTGCTTGACCATCTTCCCAAAACAAAGACCATGATCATGAACAGCACTGTTACTGCAATTAGCACCATGTCCACCACAACATCTCCTTCTCTGGGCTGACCCTTCACAGGCTTCACCAAAGTTTGACCAATGAGGATCATGCAGGTGAACTTGTAATGGTGAAGGAGGGCAATCGCCATGACCATGACCACTTCCTTGACACTCTCGAACTCGTTGAACTGCTCCGTGTCGTAGATCTCGCTTAACTGCGTGATGATGTCGTAGGTCTCGCTGAACTGCTTGGTGTTGAAGATCTCGCTGAACTGCTTGATGTCGTAGGTCTCGCTGAACTGCTTGGTGTCGAAGGTCTCGTTGTACTGCTTGGTGTCGAAGATCTCGTTGTACTGCTCAGTGTCGAAGGTCTCGTTCTCGAAGGTCTCGTTGAACTGCTCGGCGTCGAAGATCTCGTTGTACTGCTCAGTGTCGAAGGTCTCGTTCTCGAAGGTCTCGTTGAACTGCTCGGCGTCGAAGATCTCGTTGTACTGCTCAGTGTCGAAGGTCTCGTTCTCGAAGGTCTCGTTGAACTGCTCGGCGTCGAAGATCTCGTTGTACTGCTCAGTGTCGAAGGTCTCGTTGTCGAAGGTCTCACTGAACTGCTCGGTGTTGAAGACGTAGGCAAAGTAACCAAACATCACCATGATGAAGACCACAGCCATTGCCACATAGAAGAAGATTCTTCCATGCGTCACCTTCGCAGTGAAGTTGGTCTCTGGCCCACTGCCCATCGTCTGCTGCACCAGACTGGCCATGAGCGCAGCGCGAAAGGCCTTTATCGTTCCTTGTCCAAAAACAACCCTACGAACAATCTCTTGCCGATGTTCTTGGTCACCTATCCGCAGGCTCGAAGTTCTGGAGTCCACCATGTTGAACTGATACAAGAGTTGCTTCATCTTTTGGGCAGTAAACTGTTTCGTGAGTAGGTCTGCAGGGTTTACGCGACCAGACACTTTGTGCAGCGTGAACCTTCCACTCTTCAACTCTCGTTGTACCCATAGGGCTGCTACTGCCACATGTCTAGCTCTGCCTACTCCTTGCTTCTTGCAGAACCCGATGACTGCTGAGGCATCTGTGTAATGTCGATGTTCTGGCTGAAGTCCCGTAATGAATTCGATGACCGCACTCAAGAACAAACCCTCAGACACAGCTGCCAGCAACGCGTAGAGCTCAGACTCCATGGACGATAATGCGATTGCATGTTGCCTACGCGAGGTCCCGTATATTGGCAACCCGTTTAGGTAGATCACGTACCCTGTGGTTGAACGCCGGTCTGGACCAGACGCCCAATCTGCGTCAGACACAGTCTCCAAAAGACTGGGTGTTGAATAGATCGTTGCATCCAAGTTACTTGTCTTCTCACCAGCATTCTGCTCCAAGAAAGAAGTTCCAGGATACGTCCTCGGGAATTCGATTGCATAGTCCACGGTGCCCTTCAAGTACTTGCAAACATGACGAAGGCACTTTAGATCAAACCTGGTTGGCTTCACTGCTGCTGACGACAACTTCCTTGAGGCACACTGGATTTCAGGGCGGTCAGGGCTGATGTACAAGATGATTCCCACAACTGACCGGAAGGTCTGGTGATCTGCAGGATCAAGTGGCTCCATGTCCTCCTCACTGGCCATAAGGCCATTCGGCCACACCGTGTTCTTCACAGCTGCCTTTTCAAGGCCCAGCAGCTCCACAATCTTTTGAATGTATTTCCCTTCCTGATGCACGACAAACCGATTTCCATCACCTTCGTAAGTCCTCTTCAAGAATCTACACTGACCTCCCCGAAGTGTGCACGGCCCCTCGATCTTGATCTTAAGCTTCGCAGCCTCCAAGTGGTTCTTCAGGTCCTCCATCGCACCGCGTGTCGCCAGAACCTGGCCATCATCGACGTGGGAATTGATTGCAATCTTCTTGGGCAAGGAGAAGATTGCAGGCGCAACTGGACAAGCCTTTAACCCATGACCTTCCAAGATGGCTCTGAAGTGTTCATACCAACCAGAAGCTCCCTCTCGCTGACCTGGTAGGTTGAAGAGAATTTGGTACCGCCTTCCATTTGAAGCAATGATGTATTTTGGGGTCCTTTGAGGAACTGCCAAATATGCATCAGAAACATCCAAAGAGTAGACCTCGAGCTGGTCCGACGTGGCAGCTAGGGCAGTCATCACCTTGGTTGTGCTGGATATCGATGCTGGGGAGTAGAGATCTTGAAGATCTGGAGCGAGTGATCTAAATTCTCTCGCAACCAACCGACTACGCCTAGTCCATTGGTTGTCACGCCACCGCCAATCTCGTACATTCTTTGAACTCAGCTCAGTCATGTTCTCATCCAGCTCTTTCCCCTCAGGGATCTCTACCAACACCCCCATGGCAATCAACCGGTTCAACTCGAACGCATCTCGCTCTTCATCTAGTCGACTTAGGGCCTCTGCACTAAGGTCAGGAGGCCCGGCTTCATAATCACCCAAGAGCATCGTCTCAAGCTCTTCTGCTTCCTGGTCCCACTGAAGTTCTGCATCATCTTCCCAATCATCCAAATCACCTCCGACATCAGGAATCACTATCTCCTCTGAGGGATCATATCTTTCGGGCTCCACTCTTCTAATGAAGTCCACTCTTCGCTCGTGACCTTCTTTTCGGGGGACCTTCGCTATGGGCTCAACCACTTCACCTTCTTCACCAATACCTTCCGCTTCGGGAACCATACCTGACGCCACTGAACTTGAGCTCGCAGAACTCCCATGCCCACCTGGGAGTGAAACCGACAGATCATCTCGACCCTCACTCACCTCAGGAGAGGGCTTCTGTTCCTCATCTGGTGTTGGACCGGAGTGTTCAGGAAGACTCCCGGTTTGGGGATCCGAAACCGGGAATCCATTCTGTTCCTCTTCTGCTGCTTCCACAAGTATGGGCATCCTCTGACGTCTACCTCTCTGCACTCTCAAACCTATGGCTCCCAGTGCCCAATTCCAAGAAACACCTCTAATCGAATCCAAAAGTGCTGGCTCGTACTCAGTTGGTGACCTTCGCATTGACCTCGCAAGTCGGATCCCAGCAGGCGTCCCGATCACATTCACTGCTCCTTGATGGGATCTTCCAAGATAGATTCCCTTTGTCCATGCTACACCTTTTGCTTGACTCTTTGGAAGGCATTGGGCATACACAACGCAGCCATAAGGCGCAATCTTGGCAGAGAAAACGCGACCATTTACTAGCTCAAACGGAGTATTCCCACAAGGAAGAACATGGTAACGCGTATACAGCCATGCTGCATGTCTGAATGCCCATGAGAAAGCGGGATGATCAGAGAGCACACGGTAGCCGCACTTCAGTTTGATTGACTCCAAGAGGCACATACCAAGTTGACGAATTGTGTGTATGTACCTTTCAGCGGGCAAAGCCTGGCGCACCCTGCTGTCAGGCGGTACTGGCTCTCGTCCTGTCTTCAATCCCATCTTAGCTCTTACCTCGACAATCTGATTGACCAACTGTTCCATGGCAGGTTCCGTGTCAGCTCGAACATGCACCTCATTGTACCCTAAAGAAGAAAGCATTCTAGTGATCTCCTCGGTGGCACTCATCAAAGAGGAGCCCCCTTTCGCATCAATGGGGATAACTAGGAGGTACTTTGTCTTCATGTCAACAGCAACAAGATGCTTCGCCAGCGGATCTCTCATGTCCTTGTCTCCCTCGGTGCCGGTGTGCATGTAGTCAAGTGCCAGCACAGGAACCGCACGATTCTCATCTACAGACTCCGTGTGATTGTCCTCTTTGGACCTAGCCGCGAGACATGCCTGACACCACGGTTGCCTCGGCATGTGCGTCAAACTGTGTAATTCTTGCTCTTCCACTGAGGGTGCTTTTGCGAGTGGCTCTGCACGGGGATCTCGTTCATACTCTTTCAGGACAGCATCCGAAATCTGCGTCACAGCATCCAACCGTGATCTCGACACTGTTTCTTTCACCCTACTCCAAAGAAGACTCCGTGATCCATGCGCAGAGACACCCAAGAACTTACACGCCGCGCGCAACGTGTTCAAAGAAGAAGTCTCCTCAACTTCAACGCCTGCCAAAGTCACTACCTCGCGGCCATCCTCTACGATGACTTCGGGCGCTGGAGCCACAGGCCCCTTTTCAGTGTCATTGGCTTCCTGAGCTTCTCTTTGTTCTCTCTCTCTGGCTTCCCTCTCGTCTTTATCCAAAAGTGCCTGAACATGCGAAGGCACTACATTCGAGATCACCTTCCCAAAGTAGTCAGGATCAACGGGATGCTGGGTCAAAAGTGTCAGCGTGGTGTACTTTCCAAAGTCAGCAATCTCCTTCTTCTCTCGGCCATCCCAGTACTCTCCGCTCTCAAAGACCTCAAACTCTCGACCTTGCTTCTGGATCAACGTCGTCCTGAACTGATACTTGTCATCCCAACCATACTTCAAAGTTGGATCTTCAGTATGGCGAACATTTGAGGCGACACACACAGGATGTCCCGAAGTAGTTATTGACCACCCTGGAACTCGACTTCTTACCAAGGAATAAAGCTCATCACCGACATCGATGACCATGCGCACATGACACTCATCGACTTTGCGAATGTGCATCACCATGGCTAAGGAGTGCTTCTGCCAGTGCACAGGAATCTTTGCTGAACCTTTGCTTAGCAACATGTGCCCAGGAGCTTGGCCTTGTAAGAGGCTCCAACCTCCTTTGAAGATCCTCTCGGTGCACAGCAGAGGCGTAGCTACCTGAGCGAGGACCGCATCTTCTTCAAACACAATCGTTCCTCCATCAATGTCTTTAACCTCGAAGCGAACTCTTGCTCTGGTTCCACTACCTGGGATTCGGTTTCCCTGCGCATCTCTCAATCGGAACTCGCTGTCGCTGCTGCATCCCACATGTGCATACCGATCCATGGGCAACACTGTCACATCGGCACCCGAATCGAAGATCACCGGTTCAACCCTCGAGTTGTCAGCCTCATTCTCACCCTCAATCATCCGAACATGCAGGTCAGACTCGCAAGTGTCCAACTCATCTTCAGTATCCCACTTGCTCATGTCAAACATCATGGTGCTGGTGGAACGCAGCTCTGGCTCTTCCACGACACAGATTGCATCTTTGGACTGATCAGAACCTACATCGTCCAACACAATCCGCCGAACATCCCAAGACTCAACTTCATCATGAAAGGCTATGTCTTGAGGTTCGACTTCACTACCTTCACACATGTCATAGATTGCAACATCACCTTCTCCAAGTTCATCACTCCAGCGAAACCGCTCTTCACTGAAGTCTTCCAACCTTCGAACGAAGCTAGCTGCTTGCGCCGGCCTTGAAGATGAGCTCGCAAGAGTGGCTGTAGCTGAAGTTGAGTTCGGAAGCGTCGCACTGGTCGAGACAGCTGTTCCAACCTGGGAGACAGAGTCATGGGCTTCCACTTGTCTCACTTGACCCTGGGACCAACAATCAGCTGAAACATGGCCCATTTTACCACACTTAAAGCATGGCCCAACTCCGGAACGACCACCTCGCTTGCCCTTGCCTTTGTCCTTCGCATTGTTGTAGGGTCTTCCCCCATGATGCCCATGGCCCTTCTTGCCTCCTTTGTCTTTGCCCTTTCCTTTGTAACCCTTGTCTTTGCCCTTTCCTTTCCAAGGCACCCAGTTGGACTTTCCAAAACCCCAACCTTTGCCATGGGGTTTACCCCCTTTGTTGTTCTTGTCATGCTGCTTCCCACCTTTGTGCCATTTGCCTCCACCTTTGGTGTTTTCAACCCGGTCGACATCCATGGGTGCACTCGTGTCGTGATGCGAAGAAAAAGAAGAAGAGGGAGGCATGCCAAAGGAGGAAGAAGTAGACGAAGTCAAATTGAGGTTCTTCATGACATGCTCAGTGGTCCAACTTGCCGTAGTCTGTTCAAACTGCAGAAGCTTGTCTCGCAACCCAGTATATGTCGAACTCTCACTCAAGGTCATCTGGATATGGCGTTTGATGTCCTGAGGCAAGCCCTTCAAAAGCGTGGAAATTTTGAGGTTGTCGGGGTAGGAGCTGTGGGATACGGCCTCGTAATCTTTGATAAGTTTCTCGAAGACAAGGATATACTCGAGCAAGCTTGTTCCCGCTTGCATCCCAGGAAAGGACACAAGTGCCTCAGCCAAAGCTAGCTCTCTGGACCTAGTTGAGGGCCTCAGTTCACGATGCAACCTCTGCCACACGAGAAAGCCGTCACGAGAACTCACAGCCTTCAAAATCCGCAAGGGTCTGCCACGCAAATAAGACGACAAAATGGAGTAAAGCTTCAAAGCCCGTTTCTTTCCTTCTTCACTGTACGAGCTGATCTCCAAGGCCTCCGTAGTACTTTCAGCATACTGCAGATCTTCCCGATAATCTGGATCATGAACAATCAACCAATTCAAGAATTGAAATGCCCATTCTTCATAACCATTGATCTCCTCTTCAAGCGTCTTAGGACCGAAAACCTCAGGCGCCTTGAGCGCCTTTCCGCCGTCTTTGAATCCACCGCCTTGCTGGGCAGTGGCCAGGCGATTCAGTGCCTGGGCTAAGTCTCGCATGATCAAAGATTGTGTTTGTGCGTCAAGGGCAGGTGCTGCAGGTGTTGTGGGGTCTTCAAACTCATCTCCGGACGGTTGTGCTTGCTGCGCAGGATCCATTTTCTTTCCTGCACTCAAGGCCCAAGGCCGTCTCTCTCACCCGTGTCGTGCTGCCCACAAGACAGTCTTGACAAAGCCGAGGCCCCTCAAGACCCCGTTTACAAGCTCAAGCTCACCCACAAACCTTCTCACTCACTAAGGCCAGGATCGTGTAGCCTGAAACCCCAAGGACCTCCGCAAAGGCCTGTCGATCGCCCAGCAGCGACTCCCTCCAAGATGACCAGAAGCCAAAGCGCCGCCCGCAAGCAGCCAAGGAGGAGGAAAGCTATGCAGCCCACGGGCTGTCTTCTTCACACACTTGGGCTCACTATACACACACACAACCAGAGGTAGGGTCCTGCCTCTCTACACCTCACACACTCGGGAGATCGGGTCCTGTCTCCCAGAGCTCAAGGCACCCAAACCCAAAGGAATGGATCCTAGAGCTCCGCTACCATGTAAAAAGCGGACACACACTTTTCGGCTCTACAAACGGCCTCCAGAGGTTTCGGTCTCCACAGCTTTAAACTGTTGCAGCACACAAGTAGACACTACTGGAAAACGAGGGGTTCTGGGTTCTCGAAATATTTGACATGCTTCCAAGAGGATGCGGCCCTCAATGAAGAGCTTGGTCACACGACCCTGATACACAGTCAACCTCTCCAGCAGCAGTGCGCAATCAGGGTCCATGCAGTCGTCCTGGCGGATGTAGCGAAGGGCTTCCGCAGACCAGTCGGCTGTGAGTCCCGCCTCGATGGCGCAGGCCGCGCCCATGGAATCCAGCCATGACCCTGCTTGAGTACGTTTTCCAACGTCGAGCCGTGGGTCGGTGACCCTCATTGCCAGCACTGCCGCAATGGCGGCTTGCAGGTTGACGTAGTGCCTGGAGGAGCTGGCTGAAGACTCGTACCTGGCATCCGCATGACCCACCTGCTTTAAGACCGTGGAAAGGCCAGTCCATTTCTTCATGACCCTTTGTGCCAGCTGCAGCTCGTAGCGCCATTTTTCGGAGGCCTGCACGGCTGGGAACAAGCCTCCTTCCGCTGCCATGATGACCCTCCATCGCTGGCCCATGCCTCCACTCAGAAACCTCATGGAAGTAATTATGACCCTGCCAGGCAAGGAATTTTACTATTGCTATTATTCAATTGACCCTGGCGCTGAAAACACGAAAAATCCCATTTGGGCAAAGTGCAGCTATCTCGCTTCAATGGGTCGCTCGTGGCGATGCGCTGAACGTGACAGGAGTCGCGTGCAATGACCCCGACGTTGGGCAACGCAAAGCGAAGGAGCTTCAAGGCCTTCTGCACGGCACCGTCTGCGATGACCCCGTTGACCCTGTTCACGACATGCTGAAACAACTCGGTGTCTTCACCACACACCTGCTTTATGGCGTTCCGTATGGATTGTGTGACCCTCTCACCGTAGTCGTCTTCCATGTCCTTGAGGTCGCCATCATCCGCTGACAGGCTCTCCACCCACAGAACACCACGGCGTGTCTCGATCTGACAGGGTTATAATAATGATATAATAAGTCAGTTAAGGTAGTACAGACTGGAAATTAGGGTGTTCTAGCTGACAGTGTACATGTTTGGAAGCTCTGGCCTTGTCGTTGACCCTGACAGAACACTTGTACCGCATGACTCTCCAGCGGCCTTTGTCGTCTAAGGACAAGGAAATGGACCTTGACTGACGAAGGGTCTCGCGATGCCTGTTGCGAATGGATAACGCCATGATCTCGATCATGGCCTTAATGACCCTGGAGTCCGCATCACGGTGCCGACGTCTCATCCCTCGCGTGAAGCGGGACGTTGACAGTTGGGTGCCAGTGTGACTGAATGACCCTGACAAGTTTTCCCAAACCACCAACCAGTCCGCCACTTGTGGCACTGACCCACTGAGCAGCGCCTCGTCACCATCCTCCCGCAGGAGCTGCGTCGGTGGTGTATCGGGCTCCATGAAGCATCTCATGGCCAGCTTGTGAACCTTGCTCTGAGTTGAGTGGAGGAGCAGCGCACTGGCCTGAACGGAGCTCATGGCATTCACCTCGTACCTGCCCCACTTGGTACTGAATCGTCTGACCCTGCCTCGGCATGAACTTGTGGCCAGTTCTTGCTTTGCTGGGGTGACATTAGTAGTAGTCAAATTCACGTTATTACTATATACTATTAATTGAATGTAACAACTTACGTCTGGATGTTACTGCTGAATCTCAAGCATCTTCAGTCAGGACACTGGTAAGCTTGCCCTGGACCTGAGCCTCCTCTGTCTTGTGCAGCATGTTCGCGCACAGGTGACATCCCAGGCCCCACTTTCCAGCAGGCCAGGCGGCCGGTCTGGTCCCAAGCCACGTCACCAGCTGCTTTCGACCCTGCACCATCATTTTCACCGTGCCGGGCCTAAGCAGTCACACTCCCTTATTATTGATTATTAACAATTTTAACCGGACCCTCACTCACAGAAAAAGTCTCCCACCAAATTCCTTCTCTGCTGCAGACACGAGTCCCATCACTGGAAAGCCACACCGAACTCATCTTCTGAAACCGGCAGCGTGGGCAGTCATCGGTTGGGTTTTTCCCGTGCTTTTGCTTGTGCTCTGCATCTGACCATGACAGATACTCGTCCCGCACAGTTTCGTTCCCGCCCTTAGCCTTCCACCATGGCCCTGAAAGAGCTTTCTTGGACCTTGGCCGTCTTACCTGCTGCACAGAACTGGAAGCTGCAGAGGCGGCTTCGCGGTGCGCAGAACTGGAATCTGCAGAGGCGGCTTCGCGGTGCGCAGAACTGGAATCTGCAGAGGCGGCTTCGCGGCGCGCAGAACTGGAAGCTGCAGAGGAGGCTTTGCGGCGCGCAGAACTGGAATCTGCAGAGGCGGCTGACCCTTTGCCGGCTGTTCTTTTTTTTGGGACCGGCACGACCTGACCCTGTGCACCCTTCAGTCGCTTGCCAGAATCTTTGCCGGGCACAGCTGCATCATTGTCGTCGCTGAAATGCGACAGCAGCCGCTTTCGCTCTTCATTGAGGATCGGCATGGCGAGGCCGTTGACAAAACTGTGTCTGACTCACGCACATGTCCTGGGTGACATTACTTGACCCCGTCACTGTCATTCCTGCCACGTCCTGCAGATTCTCAATGTCAAGGACCCTAGTAGAGGCTGCTGGCTGTCATCCGTTATGTTACTGCAGTCATGCAATCGGTCCAGGCTACACACGGTCAGTCATCAGCAAAACGGATGCAAAGTGACCCTGTTACACACTGACACACACAACACACACAAGACACACACACACAACACACACACACACACACACACAACACACACGCACACAACACACACAACACACACGCACACAACACACACACACACACAGCACACACACAGAGACACACACACACACACAGCACACGCACACACACACACACACACAGAGCACACACACACACACAACAGAAAACACACAACAGAAAACACACACACACACACACACACACAGACACACACACAGACACACACACACACACACACACACACACACACCTTCTTACAGCACCAATGCCAGGGGCCCCACTGCGGCAGCGGCACCATCTGGAAGACGAATGGCTCGCCTGCCCAAGCGAACTCTGTCACGCGACACGGACACAAGAGACCCTGCAAACATGACATGCCAGGAGCTGGGCTTTGGGGATGTATCATCACACTTGTAGACACTGAATCTGAATCAGTCTGACTTCACACACGCACACACCTTCCTACACCAAATCCAGGGGCCCCACTGCGGCAGCGGAACCATCTGAAAGACGAATGGCTCACCTGCCCAAGCGAACTCCGTTGCACGACACGGACACAAGAGACCCTAGGAACATGACGCTAGCATGGTCTGTGCTGAACATGGCACAAATGCAAATTCATTTTGTCTTGTCTGCCGGCGACTGCATGAGGCAGTATCCAGGATGTCTTGCAGACCACTGACCCTCATCAGAGTCATCAAAGCTGAGCTATATTATTATCTGTATCATCACACTTGTACACTGAATCTGAGTCTCACGTAGTCAGAAGAGCCAGTGAATCAGAAGACTTATTATGGCAGCACACCTCTTCAGTGAGTCTGACCATGGAAAACAGATGCCGCGTCTCTTCGACGCGCTGGGCACATATTCTCTGACCCTGGTCTGACCCTGAGTCTAGGCTGCTTGCTCCTCGTCATCCTCTGACCCTGGCAACACTGGGATGGTGTCCTGGAGCGGGGTCTCCAGCTCGTCCGCAAACAAGTCCTGGACTGCCTGGGACAAATCCTTCTCAAACAGGTAATGACCCTGGGACACCACCTTTCGAAGCGACGCGAGGTCCAGCACGTTGGAGAGCCACGAGGCCTGCTCAGCTGACCCTGCGAAGGCCACATAGTGCACTCCAGACTCGACGCAGGCCAACGCCAGCTGGGGGGCCCCCTTCAAGTCGACAACAAGCTTGACCCTCCAGGCAGAGAGGAACTCAGTCCAGAAGGCCTGACCCTTTGACTCTGACCACATGAAGGGCACAGACTGGTCTGCGCTGTATCCATCCGGCGCAATGTCTATTGACCCTGTAATGCCCACCGATTCGGCCATGGTCCTCTTTGCCTGCTGTGACATTGTAGGGCTGCAGACAGGCCGACGAAGCGTCCAGCTGCCCTTGTAGACACTTGACCCATCGTCTGCGCGCGGCAAGTTTGGACTTGTTCCCGCACCCCAACTTGCAGTAGTACATCTCATGCTGCAAAGCCGAGAATGGCAGCCGGCGTGTGCGAACTTGACCCTCCGGATTCTTCTTTGGCTCTGGCTCTTGGTACATCAGCATGCCTTCGCTCATGCTTTCAAAGCCAGTGAGCTCCGCCAGCATTGATCTTCGTGCCTTGGACCGCCCATCGAAGGCGAAGCCGAGCTCGAAACTTTTCTGGCAAGAGCTGTTCATGTAGTCAAACGCAGCCTCCACCTGTCTCTTGCTCAGTGACCCCGTTTGGGCAGCCTCCTGCCATGGCTTCTTTTGTGTGCCCCAAGCACAATCCATGGCCAGAATGGTCACTTCATGACCCTCATTCAACTTGAAGCGTATCTTGAAGGCCTCCTTTGCCCGCGTCACGGCTGCCTGCATCTCAGCGACAGTCTTGGCCTCGGAGACCAAGCAAAGACGTTTTCTGGCATTCTGCGCTCGCTTCCAAACCTCCTTCCGCTCCTCCATGGCAGACTTCATGGGGTCCTCGGGGTTGGAAGCCATCCTGCACAAGGTCCTCAAGGAGAGATTCGGACCCTGTGACATTCCAGAGACAGACCTGAGATGTGCAACTTTTCATTGGACACGAAACTAAGCTTAGGCTTTGAACTCAGGCCACAAGTTTCAAACTGACAATCAGGACACTGACTGGGCTCGCGACTGACCCTGGCGAACAGACTCCAGCAAGTTCCCAAACTGCCGAATCGCTGCAACCAGCACGCCCACCACCTTGTCATCCTCCTTGTGCGAACTGGAGAGTGTCTTCTCCAGCTCGGCATCAGCTGCGAGCGTCAAGAGGGCTTCGTCGAAGTGACCCTCAGTGATTTTCTGGCAAAGGGACAAGAGCTCCCGGCTGCAATTGTGACCCAGACCAGCCTTGACTCGATTAGCAACTTCCTCATCCAGAACCCCTTCTTCTGACACAGGGAACGTTGTGTGGAAGAGTAACGGGTCCTGGAAGACGTGCAAAACCTGATCTTGCATCTCCTTCTTGCTGGCAGACTCTTCCACAAAGCCAACAAGGTTGCTGAGGTAGTGCATGATGCGGTACCGGGTGAGGACGAGGCTGACATACCCGACCTTGTTCTGAGGGTCGATGGTCGTGATGGAGAAGAAGGCAGCGTCCGTGACCCTTCTGTGGAGCGTCACCAGCGCGCTCCTGAGGAATATCTCCACAGCTTCAGCCCCCGGCAGGATATTCTTCACCACCACCATGTGACCTTGACACACCTTGCACATGCGCATGATCTTGGTGTAGTCTTGCGTCAAAGCCTTTGGGCTATAAATTCGCTCGATGTCCTTCAGCAGCTGAACCGAGGTGCCGGACAGCAGCTGACTCTGAAGCATCAAGCACTGGGTGTGATTCTTGTTGACCGGTTTGCCCTCTAGTGTCAGCCCGGTGCGGTTCAGGTCAGCTGCCGACTTGTCTGACCCTGAAAGCTTGACATCTTCGAGGCTAGCCATCTGAAGTGCGCGCAGTGACCATGACAGCCACGACTCGCCTAGATGCTTTCCCGCAGCCTTCATGGCGGTGTTCAGCTTGTTCTCCTCCAGCAACCGACCCTGGGGGGAGACATTCACGTAGACAGTGACTGTCCACGACAAGCTTGCCTTCATCAGCAAATTGACCCTGTCCTCGTTATTCTCTTTGAAAGCCTGGGCCAGCTGAACATAGAAGCTGCTGAGCAGCCGTGACCCTGAGATGACATTGATCTTGGTCGGCAAGGTGTCGGCCGGGATCTTGGGCACTGTGCCGGACATGGTGAACGGGCACAAGATGTGGCCTTTCTCCCCAGGAACAAAGACCTGCAACAAGCACGTGACACAAGAATATTCAAAAGCATTAAATTATCAAAATAAAGCACTGTGCATTCTGTCAAAGCCTGGCCTGGGAACCCAACAAAACAAGAGACTTCCAGCTCGCGTCACCCTCTGCGTCGATGGACAGCACCCAAGCAGTCGCCGCAGCTTCATAGACGCCGTGGCCTTTCAATGCCTTCTTCATGTTGCTCAGGTCCCAGGTTTCCTTGATTCCCTGACCCTCCTGGATCTTAAGAGGCTGCACAGCCTCCAAAGACTTCGGAATCGACTTGCCCAGCAGAGACTTGCCATGACCCAGCAGCCACTTCCAGGCCTCGCTGCGTGTGTAGGGAATCAAGTGTCGCAGGGTTGACTCCGCCGGCTCGTTCTCGTCTGCCGGCAGTGACCAAAACAGCGGCACGGCCGGCACCGCAGGCTCCACCATGTCTGCCAGCCCGGCCGCTTCCTCAGCCTCCGGATCCTCCTGACCCTGCTCGCCGTGCGTCTTCACCGAAACACGGCGGCGCTTGACAGCGCCTTCGCTGCTTGCCATTGTCAGTCGAATGGCCTGGCCCAGCAGGGCGCGCTTTTGACACAAATCAAAAAATGGCTGCGCAGGCCAAGCGCAATTCCCAAACATGTAGCAGCATCAACAATACCAAGCACAGCTGAAACAGAGCACAAAACTTGGCGCACGCTGCGGGCTATGTCGGCTATGTTTTCCGTCGTTTCACTCATAGTCGCAGTGGGTCAATGACCCTGCGAGCACGGACAAGCCACTTCCAATGGCCACAAACACAATAGAGTCATTTAAGTCCTGACTGAATCATATTGTTCTTGACGCCGTCAGGACTCGTCCGTTGCATGGCCCTGACAAGCTATGCAAACAACTGCTTCAAACGGCTGGCCGCACTTGTCTCCACAAGCTTCGGCTGGGGATCTCCGCGCCTCTTTTTGGGCAACGGTGGCTTAGCTGAGTGAGCTCCTTTGACCTTGGCATTGGAGGCTCTTTTGGCCCGCGGCTGCTTCTTTGGCAGAGCAGGCTTCTGCAACAATGTTCTGGCCCTGTCCTTGACTCGGGCTCGCTTCACATACTTTCCTTGGAGCTTGCGCAGCCCACTCTCCGTTTCCAGCAGCTTCCAGCTCAGCACCTGCGGCGGCAGGACAAACTTCGTTGACCCTGCCGGCACCCCTGCCACACAGTCTGATCCTGACGGCTGACCCTGGACGATGTTGGCCTTCCGCCAATCGACCAGGGCCATAGCCAGTGCCATGGCCAAGGCGACAGCGTCCACGTGCATCGCATTTCCAGCCAGGCGACACAGGCGGCTCTGCACGGACTCATCGATGACGAGGCTGTCTGGGTTCACACCCATGTGACCCAGCTTGTCTGTGGCAGACAACAGTCGGCACTCCTTGCCGTTGCCGCTGACCCTGACCACCTTGCTGCTGGTCGTGAGGGTCGGCAAAACGTCCCACAGCGCGGGGGCTCTGTGGATGCTCTGGGACACGTCGACAAACAGCTCGCCCTGACCCTGCATCTTTGCAGCCTCAACGACCATGTTCAAGAGATCTAGTTCACGCTCTGTGAGGTTGTCGCAAGCAAGGTTTCCACGTGACCTTGTGAGCTGCAGATGGTCCCGAACACGCTCATGCAGAGTCTTCCAGCCCCCCTTGCTCTCGAGACCCTTGAATCTCAGACGGGGGCCCGCGCGAGGCTTCTGGACCGACCCTGGTCTCACACTGCTTACCAAGGTGTGAACCAAAGCTGACATCAGGGGTCTGTCAGCCACCTGCACATCCTTGCGCACGAGGATGAAGAACAACCTGGGCCTGGTGCACTGCAGACCCAGTGAGCGGTGGGGGCAAACTGGCACACAGAACATTGTGTACAGGTCCAGGAGACCCCCGGCGCGGAAGATAGAAAACAGGCGAGCGCGGTGTGAAAGGATGTTCATCACGTTCTCATAGACACTCCACACTGGCCGCTGCTCCATAGTGACCCTGACCACATGCTTCACCAAAGCTGCGGCCGGGTGCTTCCACCCAGCCTTCTTGCTTGAATTTTGCTTGCTGAAAGGTTGACATGGAAAGCCACAGACATACCCGCTGATGTCATGGACGGGCCGTGACCCTGTCATGTCCTCGTACAGGTACTGGGGCTTGCTGTTGTCCGCGAGAAACTGGCGGCAGACTGGGTCGATGTCGCAGCTGAACCTGATTGATCCTAAACCCTATTTAACCCCTAAACCCCAAAGCCTAAACCCTTAAACCCTTGATAACCCTTAATACCCTGAAACCCTTAAACCCTTAATTAAACCCTTAAACCCTTGTACCCTTAAACTCTTAAACCCTGACACCCTTAAATTACACCCGTTTTAAACCCTTAAACCCTGAATAAACCCCGGCCCTCAACCCTCAAAACCCTTAAAAAACATTGCCGAGCAGCACAGCCGTGCAGCTGACCCTCATGTTCTTCAAAGCCATGATGCACGTGTCCATGCCAGCACAATCACTTCCGATCCTCTGACCCTGCGTGTCGATGCTGTCTGGCTTCCAGCCCGTGACCCTGTCCACCAACCACTGTCCACGGCGCTTCACAAAGGCAGCCCAGGCCGATGCATCCATGACCCTCACAGAAAGAAAGGCCGGGGGAAACTGGTGACTTGATTGGCTCATCAATGATGCAGCAATGGCAAAATCACAAGTTTGATGTCAAAGTGGAATCTAGGGCAGGCAGACAGCAGCTGGTGCAGACCTGGCCTCGAAAGCGTCGGTGTGGAGCAAAGTGACCCTATGGAAGTCTGCCTGGCACTGGGACCAGTTACGGATAACACGTTTTGAACTGCAGCCAAACGCCCCCCAGGCTAACGTTAGCCTCGGGGCGTTTCGAATCATGGCTGGACAGCCCGAATAGCCTCAAGAGGCCGGGCGGAATTGAAGGCTATTCGCAACATAGAAACATGATCCGAAACGCCCCGAGGCTAACGTTAGCCTGGGGGGCGTTTCAAGACAAAGTGACATGGTAAAATTACACTTTGGGAGGTTGCCACTTTTGCCGTGGCTGCCTTTCTTGCCTGGTTGCGTGTCTTTCCCCCCCCCGCCCCCCCTTGCCTCCCTCCACCCCCTCCCCCAATCACCCACAGACACACGAGGACTCAATTGGAGGAAGATTCACAGTCACACAGGTTCCATGATCATCATATTGCAGTTTCAAATTTCGAGCCCTTACTCCCAAACTTGAACTTCAGAGAAACCTTTCAGAGCATGATCATTGTCATCGGGGCCGGACTGAGACCTTGGCCGTCCAACCAGGGCAAACATTGACCTTGAGACCACATCAGGTTGAGAATCAGACGGTTTGCTTCGCACCAACAGCAGTCACAGCGCAGCAACATGGAGGGACCCCGTTAATTTTCCCCCACCGATTCGCTGACTCTCATTGAACGATTGTCCAGTCGGGCAAAGATGACCCAGGCAGCCTCAGAAAAACAAACCCCAAGGGAAGGTGACCCTTCCGAGACAGACCGGACCGCTAACAGTCACAGTCTGTGTGACCCAGCTTCCTGTACAACAGGCAACCCCTCAAAGCGGAGCCATGAGACGAGGTGTTTCATCTCTGGGTGAACATTGCCACCGGCTGCTGCCTGCAACACTTCCCGGCTAGATCGAGCAACCCAATCTCGGACTGATTCGTGCCATTGGAGCTGAACCTGGAGAGCCTCGGCTCTTTTCTTCCTTAGCTGAGACTGGAAACAAAGTACGCTCCAAGGCGAGCACCAGCAGACATGCATCCTCCCTCACTTGGCAAGAGTCCATTGTGCCTCACAAGCATTCATAGTCGTGTGCATGACCTCTTTCTTCTGCTGGGCTTCAGATAGCCTTGCACCAAGAGCAAACGACCCAACAGCCAGCGACTGAAGACTTGCAGCCAGAACACTGACCCTTGCAGTGCGACAGTGCTTCCTGACAGGGGTTGCAAAAAATCTGAATGAGAACGCGCAGCGCGGCAAAAGGCCCGTCGGCCTGGCCTCCAGGCTCTTGACCCTCAATTGGAGCTTGTCGATCTCCTGCCTCGCAATCTACTTAACTTAGAACTCTCTGTCACAGTGTAGAATTCAGACTAACACATAATACTACAGGCATGTGTCCCCTCGTGTCTGTCCTCAAGTCTTCTGCCTCACCTACCATGATGTCGTGCTGGGACTCGGCTATCGCGAGCTTCTTCCAATCGACCCTGTCAAAGTCAGCATGTCACGCAAGTACGCTGTCCTGCGTCGCCGACCCTACAGACCTGGCCTGGATCTTCTCCGGTTGGCGCGGTTCTTTTCATATGACTGCTGTTTTTCCTTGCGGTGGTTCTTCCTTCTCTCCAACTCTTCCACACTGACCAACTGTTGCTCGCGCTTGACCCTTGCAGGCGTTGACTTCTCGGTCTTCACAGTGACAAGAGTTATCTCTTTTTTGACCCGGGAGGGTTCTAACTTCAAGGCAGCAGGCTCCTTCTTGACGCCCACCATTGCTGGAACACTCTCAGACTCAGATCTGCCCATGGATTCTCAGACCTACCCATTGTTTTCTCCGACATTGTGGCACTACAACTTCGTCACGCTCAGGTACCTTGACATGAACTTGAGCACGGCAGCTGTGCATGATGAGAGTTCTTCTGCACTGTGTCACATGTCCTCAGAACAATTTACGTCACAGGTTCAAGCACGGACTGTTCACTGTATCTGTGCAATGACCCTCGCATCCTCTAAAGTCCAGGTCCTGGGGATGCAAACAATTCAAATCAAGCCGAGGGCAGCTTGGCGCTGAAATCAGCCAAGCATGGAAGCAAGCCCTCCTGAAGAAATCGTGTGCCACAGTCCATGTGATGCAAAGCAATCATGCGCCGTTGTCTGCTGAGACACTGTTTCAATGTCATCTCATTAGCCGGACTGTGACCTGTGTGACCCTGACATCAGTCTCACGACAGGGATTCTCCCGCCGCAGTCGCCGCTTCTGCAGTCGACCCGGTCGATCCTGACAACAATGCCACAGACAGTTCCTTGTCCGGCTCGCTGACCCGAGCTTTCTTGGCACACACTGCCAGGTCTTCACGGTAGTACTGCAAAGTGGCTTCCAATTCGCTGACCCTGTCCCGCAGCGTTTGCTCTTTGCGTTTCCGCCACATCTCGGTCGCTTCTGACTCCATTGCTTTCCAGGACTTGGTGACAAGCGGGGTGAGGCTGACCCTGACATTGATGGGGGAGACATAGGCTTTGTTCAGGTCGTCTGCTGACCCTGCCCAAAAATCCTGGGCTTGGCTGGCACAGAAGCGCAACTGGTAACTAGAACAACAATAGAAGCGCTGCGACTGTGCTTTCTTCGCCTACAATGACAAAACAAAGCCAGGACACAAGCAAAGGGCTTGTATCCTGGTTGGCAACCAACATGTTGCCCTCCGGCAAGTCTGTGGTCATGACCTGGAAAGCAATGGGATCGCTACGCCCCGTCTTACGGCAAAGCCAGCAAAGCATGGCGGCTTTGTCCAAGTCCACGTAGAACAGGGCAAATGACCCTGGTGGGTGAGGGCCGTTCAAGTGCCGAAGCACAACGTCTCTGACCTTACTCTGGATTGGGTCGTTGATGTGGTAGAACGTAAAGACCCTGGGTTCAGGCTCATAATGACACTCACGAATCACCGACAGCCAGTGAATCGTGACATCGATGTCATAACCCTGGGCGTCAGACGCCAAGCAAAAGGCCTCAGACGTTTCAAATTTATCCTTGCCGACACTCGTCAAAAGCTTCCTCTGAAACGCCTGCTGAAAGTTGTGGAACTTGACCCTCAAGACGTAGAAGTACTTCGTGCCCAAGGAATGCAAGTACTCCTGCTGCAGCTTTACAGTCTGCTTGCTGCATGGCCCTGGCTCCTTGTCTGCGTCTGTTGGGTCGCTTGGGTTGCTCACTTGGAGGTTGAGCCCTCTGGTCTCGCGAGAAGCCACACGCAGCATCATCCACACTGCCTAGCAAGAACCATGAACAGGGCTGGCAAGTAAAAGAGCTGCACGATTACATGGACCTGGAGCAACGCAGCAGCAGCAATTGCCTCCTCGGCAGTCCCAAAAAACTCTGTGGCCAGCTTGGATTTCTGACCCTTTTCCATGCGCAACCTCAGCTTGTCGAAGGTCTGCTGGGTGAAGGCCGTGAACCCTGTCCTGGTGACGGGGTGGCCCATGAGGAAAGACACGGACACGATTTTTTCAAGACAGTGAGAGACTATGTCGGTCAGTCCTGTCGCCCATGACTGAAACAGGACCGAGCTAAGATCTCTCACTCAAGGCTTGGCACTGGAAAGGCTGTGGCGCAACACAATGATTCAGATGACAGGATGCTGGCCAGCACACTGACTCTGATGCTCGTCCCTGGAGTGAGTGACCCTGAGACCCAGGCCCAAGCCTAGAAGTTGCACAGGATCCAGGTCCTCAGGTCCTCATGGAGGAGTGACTGAGTTTACCCCAAACCCTTACTAAATTAAACCCTTAAAACCTGAAATTGACACCCTAAACCTAAATTGTTTAGTAGGGTTTTGGGTTTAGAGTTTTGGGTTTAGGGTTTTTATTGTTCGGGTTGTAGGGTTTTAGTAGGGTTTTAAGCTATTAGGGTTTCAGGGTTTTGGGGTTTGGGGGTTTTGGGGTTTTAGGGTTATTAGGGTTATTAGGGTTTCAGGGTTTTAGGGTTTAGGGTTGTAGGGTTGTAGGGTTGTAGGGTTTTAAAATTAGGGTTTTAGGGTTTTAGGGTTTTTAGGGTTTTAGGGTTACTAGGGTTACTAGGGTTATTAGGGTTATTAGGGTTATTAAGGTTTTAGGGTTTTAGGGTTTTAGGGTTTTAGGGTTTAGGGTTTTAGGGTTTTAGGGTTTCAGGTTTTGAAATTTTTAACATTTAGGGTTTTAGTTAGGGCTTTGGGGTGTTAGGGTGTGAGGGTTTTAGGGTTTTGGGGGTTTTAGGGTTTTGGGGTTTTAGGGTATTAGTGTTTTAAGGTATTAGGGTTTCAGGGTATTGGGGTTTTATTAGGGTTTTAGGGTTTAGTCGCTCACCCAGTGCCGCAGTTCAGCCACACTGACCCTTACAAACAGAAGGCCTTCCGTGCAAAGCC